AGGCCCAACCATCTTTTCCCACAAAAAAACTATAAGCGACAACATCCATCCGAGAAACAAAACATAAAAACCAAAAGCAACATTTTCAAAACCCAATTTCGTTGGTGGACTAACCCGATTATCTGGGACTGAGAGCGTCCAATTCTGTTGCCAAAGATCCAGCAATCCTCCTTCAATACACTTTTGAATAACTTCGTTTATTTTGTCATATAAAGGCGAGCCATATCTTAAGAGAAAAGTTATTCGTACTGGTACTAGATGTTGATCCAATTCATAGAAGCAATTTTTCTTATAGCCATTCTCGCCGGCCATGCTGGCAGTATAGTAATATGCTAGATTTTGAGTGGTAATAATACCTTCAACAGGGCAACTCGTAATTTTATCGACAAATTCTTCGGTAGACATAAAAGTAGTTCTTGATAAAATCTTCTTGAATGAATCTTTGTCAGATCCTTCGAATGCTGATAGGATTCCACCGAAAATATATTCGGTATTGAATATATAATCGGTTTCACCTGCCTCGTAGATTCTGGTGAATTCTGGAAGTTTCTCCACTGTTGTTAATACACTTATAAGTTTCGCTTGGAAAATGTTTGTCAAATACATATAATATACGACTAAAGAAATTAGGAAAATTCTGAAAAATTTTGCATTTATCATTTGAACGCCTCTACCAGTTATCAACTCCATGTTCATAATAAATATTTTTCCTAAAGGCAGTCCTCCATATTTTTTAAGGAAAATACTAAAAATTCCTGAAAATACTGCTCCTAGTGCCACATATGCTACTGGCAAAATGGTAAGTAAATTTCCTACTTCTTTAGTTTGAACTGGCAGCAATAATAGTACTGCGTCTATGTTGTGAACATACGTAAAATCAGCCTAAAAATGCAAATTGATTTAAAGAAGGTCTTTAGGCGACTAGAGAATCATTTAGCGTAGACATCTGTGTACGGAATTGTAAAAAACTATTTGTATACAGGGTGAGTTATTAAGCGCGCGGTGGTCCATATCTCCTATACTAACGGAGATCGAAGAAAAAATTAAATACAAAACTTGTAGATAAACATGAGTACTACATTCCTAAATTATTTTCCAGTATACAGGGTAGCCCAATAACTAGAAGTGATACAAAGTTATGTTTTTTTAAATGACTCCCCCCGTATATTATGACATTTCTGGATTCTGCGAAAAATTCTAGACATATTTCATGTACAATATCATATACCTATCTTCAACTGTTCAAACATTCGGAAATATTGACAGTTGAAAATTGACTTTTTTTGCATCTTTGACAGACTGTAAAACCTGAACGGTTAATTTCACAAGAAAACGAATTTTAAATTCCTGTCTTAGTTTTTCATAAACTATCATTTGACACCAACCTTAAATTTAATCCATGATTAAAAATTCCGCCTAAATTATTAATCTTCGGTTAAATTTAAAGTTGGTGTCAAATGATAGCTTATGAAAATCCAAGATTGTTTGCGCCGCTTATGATTTGAACTTTAAATCCCAACCATCAATGTCAATTCGACTTTTTCAATAGAGACAGTTAGCACCAGTCGGCAAAGAAGAGACATTGACATTGAATGATGAGCAGCATTTTTTTTGATTTTGAATCTAGTTTGTAAGTTTTTTCTTTGTTAGACGATTGCTACGCAACTAAAAAATGATTATTATGATTATAAAAAAAAATTGATACACTTATGTACGTCTCGTCTGATTCAATTGATAACACAAGAAAATAAAGTGAAATGCTTAAAAATCTTCACTAGTAGGTTTTCCAACCCGCTTACACAACAAAGATAGGAATGTGAAATCCGTTTTCTTGTAAAATTAACCATTCAGGTTTTACAGTCTGTCAAAGATGCAAAAAAGTCAATTTTCAACTGTCAATATTTCCGAAACAGTTGAAGATAGGTATATGACATTGTACATGAAATATGTCTAGAATTTTCCGCAGAATCCAGAAATGTCATAATATACAGGGGGAGTCATTCAAAAAAACATAACTTTGTATCACTTCTAGTTATTGGGCTACCCTGTATACTGGAAAATAATTTAGGAATGTAGTACTCGTGTTCATCTACAAGTTTTGTATTTAATTTTTTCTTCGATTCCCGTTAGTATAGGAGATATGGACCACCGCGCGCTTAGTAACTCACCCTGTATAGGAGAATCCAAATCACCCAGAAGCTTGGAAGTTCATCAAATCATTTAAGATCTGAAAATATACCTAGATCTTATGGGAAAATAGTAGCAACTCAATCCTATACTTATATACGAACTATTAAATTCACTGTCAACGAAATCGCAGGGAAGATACCGTGTGCATAAAGGCAAAATCAATACCAAAAATATTGAATCCTGAATAACGCAAATACATAAAATTGAATGTCAAAATTCTCCGGAATGATATTGAGAACTTATTTCTTTTAGCTCTGAGTGACAGACATCGTGCAGTGGAATGGTCATACAAATGCAACGATTAAGTTTGCTGAGGAGTAATTGCCCAGGATATAGATGACCTAGAGTAGATAACAAAAATGCTTTTTGAAGAATGTGAAAATAAGGGCCGATAGGTAACTACAGAAAAACAAAATATGTTTGTATATGAGGAGAACCAGACAGCTTTATTCTGAACAATGGTAGAGTAGAGGTGATGATAATATTTATTGGGGAACAATTGAGACTGACGTGCTGAAGAAAAAATTGAATATCCAAAAACTTAGCTCAATCCTCTGGTCAAATAACAAATTATTGCATATGTAGTTCTTTATTTATAATAAGATTCTTGCCAGCAATGCCCTTTACAGCTGAGAGGCTTTGCAAGATTTAATGATTGGAGCATAAATACTTGGCACTCAAAATTGGCTACTGGAAAGCTAAGCTAAAGTGTCATAAATGGATAGTCAAAAACCAAAAAATACAAGAAAGAAGTACGGAGACGTGGAAAGGATGTCAGCATCTCGAATTTTAGATCACCAAGTGGGTACCAACCATTTAGAGAGCCATCATGTCCAAGAGAAATCTGAGACCAGGAGCAAAATATAAAAAGAAGCTGGTGACTGGGAACAGGAATGCGTTGATTTTAATTGGCTTAGCTAGAATGTCGCTATCTTCTATTGCTAGTAATGTGTTTGAATATTGGCTTGAAAGCATGACCTAGAACAACCTGTATATTGAGGTGATTGGAATCTATTTGAGCAGTTCTCATATTCTTTAGATCCAAATGTATTTTTTTTGTATGTTAAGAGCTAAGTGATTCTGGAGCCGCCTTATCGCCTATCGAATAAAATTATTTTCTAACTAAATTTTATTATTTACATATTCAAAAACTTGCGGAACCATAAATCTTGAATTGAAGCTCGCATCTGCGATTCCATCGTGAACTAATCGAAGTTCCCCATCGACGGAACCATTTTCAAGTACATCCCCATAAGCGCCTACTTCTACAGCAATATATTTCACAGTAGCGTTAAGAACTCTCAGAACTTCAAAAGTAATAAGTCCATCGCGTCTTATGTAATGGTCTACATCCCATGTGGCCAGAAGATTTTCGAACATTGCAATTTTGAATTCTTTTCCGTGAAAGTTGTAGGCCGAGTTTTGAAAAATTATGTCCAGCGATTGACCTGTGAGGAGTTGATTCGAAAATGGATTGTATCTCATCAGTGTAGAGAAGTTTTGGTCCATAAAAATCATATTGGTGAGCCAATATTTCTCAAAAGCTAGTTGAGTAAACTTCTTCACATCTTCATGAGTAACATTTCCAATTAAAATTATTCTCTGCCTTCTTTTCCAGAAATGCATTGAAGTAATTTGGTTGAGAACATTTTCCAAATATTTTACTTTTTGAAAAAATAAGAAGTGTAGATTTTGTTCGTGTATTAGACTGGATTTTGAATTAAAAATTATTTGGGGCTTGGAACCTGGCCCAACTCTAATAAAATAAGTCGGTTTAACTTTAGCAAACATTTGAATACAACTGAAGGAATAGTCGTGGGAGCTGAAAAGCACAATATTTTCTACGTTACTCAGATTTGCAATTTTTTGGAAAAAATGTTGACTCTCATCATTGCATGATTCTGTAACTGTTTTTTGTGATTCTAAAACTGCATTACTATAATCGACAAAAAGAAACAGGAGATATATTTGTCTGAAGTTAGACATTGCTTTTAGTTTAAATACTAGAAAGAACAGAACTCAAATATCATTTTCAAAGGATATTATGTATGTCTTAATAACAGGCAACATCAAAAATCAATTACCAGATAAACTACTCGAATCTTCCATTTAGGACTTCTTTGAGCAATTTGGAAACAATAAAATGTATTTAGTTCTAATGTTTTCTTAATCGTCAAAGTTTTTGTCGGTATTTCGGATGTAATGTGTAGGCGGGATATTGGAAATTTATAATTTCCATACAGAGGGTTCAGTAAAAAAATAATGTGATGGAAATATATTTATCGCAAAAATGGAAAATGAAAACATTGATTTGATTTTGTGCCAAATGGGGAGGTGTCCGAAGTTCATGGAATCCTAAGCCTTTAGTCGAACCCCAATAAATAACGCACCATTGACCCCTGACAGGTCAAAAGCCTCAAAAATGTGTCAAACCTATATAACATCAGAATAGAAGGGGGCCGTGGGGTGATGAATTCCTATCACCACCCTAAAACAAATTTAAAGCACCGCTCGCCAAAACAACATCGTGAGAGTTTCAATCAAATAGAGATTAGCGAAAATGCAATGTGCAAATCCTATTGTTTTCCATATTTCTTTTCAAGACAAAATCAAATTTATTTATCATCCGGCTCTCTATCGCTATCAGCCCAAAAAAAAATTAGTTGTACACCCAGGACAATAATTCAAAAACAGAATAAACCTATAGAAAGCGGTTTATGAAGTTTTTTCAGCCATCTGGCAATCCCCTTGTCTCTACCATCTTTGTGAAAATAAATATAGAGATATCGTAAAGTTTGGGTATAGGTGAAATCAAAACTTTCCCAATAAAATTTTATATACCTATATAATTTCAATAACATCTTCAACCGATATAAAGAATATCTTTTAACATCGACCAAGGACCATTGTTAAAATTGCCATGCGTACGAACATTCCGTACTCGACTTGTCTGAAGTAAGCCGCTCTGGGATCGCTATCGAATTCCGAACTTATTTCGGAAAGCCTTGGTAAGGGGTGCATCACTACCATCTTCCTCTTGGCTCTGGTCATTAGTTGGGGAGTGACAACGAAATGGCCGCAGGCCTAAAATAAATAACATAAATTAACATAACATGTATTACCTAATAGTTTACGTGTGAGTTTCATTTGAGCCTTGGCAAACAGAAACTGAATGATTTGTAAAAAAAATGCATCTGGAAATCTCCTGGCAGCGCTATTTTTGAGTTGCAAGAGTTTAAAATGTTCAACCAGTTGTCGTTTGCAATTAATTCATAAATAATCGCTCTTTGGAAATGGCGGTTAAAAGAAGTACATTTGGCTCAGTATACTCGGCGGTCAAAATTTTCAAATTAAAATCGTAACGTCACAAAGAATCCAGTAGATTTAATGATTGGAGTTTTGATAGAATCAATTGAGCATCACAAGCTGGACCACACTTTTCCAATGAGAAGTAATTTGAGAAGTATTCTTTTGGACTTATCTTATTGGAAATCTGAGCCTTTAGGTATCTAATTTTTCAAAACATTTTGTTTTTGATAAAAGTGCATTGACTTTACTTCCTATTTTTTTTTTTTTGTTATCTAAATTTTTTTTTTTTATTTCGATGAAAATACGCGCAGGTAACAAACCTACAACAATATTTATAGAATTTTTCAATTATCATTATTATGATTGATTGACTAATTTAGGTATATTAAATAAATTTCAAATAACAATCCTATTTTTACTTAGGCAATTATTGTTTTTTTTTTCTTTAATTATGAACTTGAAATCACGAATTTGGACAAACAAAAAATGGAAACATCGTAGAAATACGCCAACAATATTGTTGAGGGGGAAATATTTTCACGCAAAGTTTATTCTTTTAGTGGAAAGAAAGAACATAACAAATGAGAGAATCGATTTCATTTAATTCAACTTCATATCCAGGCTCCTATTCTCGAAACAGGGGAGCAGCGTTCTCATGAGAATGAAGGTTCTGTCTTTAGTCGCCTATATTTATATTTCCATAACACTGATAAAAACAAAGCAATCGTTCTCGTGGAGCGCAGTTTCCCGGTTTCGTGAATAGACACCCTGGAAGTAAATACATCGATATCTGCGTCACGATTGCAACAAGGAATTATCAATATTATATGGGATTTTTGGGGTCTACAACTGGAAATGTAATGTTATTCTTGAAACTGGAATTTCATATATTCAAAATAATGAACTCCATCATGCTTTTATCAAATTTTCACGTTTAACATGCATCATAACAAAAATAGTGTCAAATTTCAAACAGATTTTTCTTAAATAGGAAAACAACTTTATGAAAAATATTTTTTTTTTCCAAATAAACAAAACTAATTCCTGCTAAACATTGTACTTATTTTGAATAATCTTTTTAAACCTTTCCTGCTATTAATTTTCTAATCTTGTCTCTAAATGAGGAATTATAATTTAATTTTGTTTTGTTTTATTGACCCAATAGTAAAGCATAAAAAAATAAAACAAAGTAAATTACCTTCTCGTATTCTTCTTGTGAATCAAACCTTTCCCTCTGAATCCTGGTCATGTAAAGCACATCAGTATCAGGCAAAACTTCTTCCAAAGAGTTGAACTCTTGTTGATTAATTCCTTTTTCAGTCAGAAGCTTCGTAATATGTTCTGGCATTTTCAGATTGGCAGGACTGACGTATCTCAGATTGACGTTGTATAAAGCTAGTAATTTAGCAAGTGAATGTACCGTACGTCCATTTTTCAGGTCTCCTACTAATGTAATGACAATACCATTTACAGTACCAATTTCCTCGCGGATAGTGAAAATATCTAGAACAGCCTGGGTTGGGTGTTCTCCTATTCCATCGCCAGCATTCAGAAGAGGCTTTCTACAGTGTTGTGATGCTTTCTAAAATAGTGAGTAATTGAAAAAATGTGTATGACACTAAAAAATAATTCTTACGGATACTGATCCGGGTTGAGGATGTCTCAGAACAATAACATCCGCATAAGCAGCCATAGTACTGATTGAATCTGCCAAAGATTCCCCTTTTTTTACTGAAGAACTTATCTCATTCATGTATAATACACGACCACCAAGTCTTTGCATGGCAGCTGAAAAACTACAGCAAGTTCTAGTGCTAACTTCATAAAACATAGCGGCCATGACTTTTCCACGGAGGACGTGGTCTAAAGTTCTGTCTTTGGAGACAAAGACTCTAAAGAAATTCCAAGTGTTACATATCACATTTAAGCAAAAAAGTTTATTGTTATTTACCTAAACGTTTGTGCCAAGCCGAAAATATAATTCAGCTGTTCCTTGGAAAATATATCGACACTGAGCACATGTTTTCCTATTAAACCATGGTCTGGATGCGGAAGAATTTCTGCTGAAACTATAAGATGTGGCTGGTGACCATCTCCCTTTGCTTTGGAACGTTCTTGGTTTGAAAAACTTTCGCTTCTCAATCGGGCCGGAATTGAAATCGGATGCACCGGGGAAATCATATTTTGGCGGTCCAAATGGAGATCGTTGGCGAAGTGAACCTGATGAATTTTTATTGCATTGAATATTTTCACTAAGTTATAACTGTTGCTTTTGCTGCAATGGAGGCTTCGCCAAGCGTTAGATTGAGGGTCAGTTAATAAGATAAACATGCAATATAGGTAGAAACAAGCTTCTCATATGTTTAAGAACTTTATCGATTTTTAATTAACCTAATCCATGATTTTAATGCATAATTATCAAGTTATTAAGATGCATTATTAGGCTCAATACACATGGTGTTTGGATCCCGATTAATCAATAATATTAGTAAATGATATCAACATGCAGAAGCGACAACCCTAGCAGCAGCATTTACCTGTGTCCTGAAACGAGTTTCAAGAGACGAAGCTTTGAAGTACTGAAAAAAGATTATGAGGTACAAATATTGAATTAAGTTGTAAAAGAAAAAAGTGCAAGTAACATAAATGAAATTCCTGTCCTGAAGTAAACTATACCTATTTACGTAGTCATTATCGCCCTACCTTTGGATCCAGTAAATTATAAAACATCTCGTTCGTGGGTTGATCAATTTCATTTTCGATTTTTTCCATCAGATGTAGTAGTGGAGACACTGAACGGTCCATAACAGAAGGTGGTCTAATTTCATTTACTGATGTTGAATGGCTAGAAATCAACCTCTTGTCCAATTCTCGAACATTTTGTCCATAACCTATGAACATCTATTTTAAAGAAGATAGCGAGCTTACTTGATTTCTTACCTGGCTGAACCAAAATTTGGCCATCAACATATGCTACTTCTCCCCTTAATATAACTCTATGAACTGCACCTTTGACTTTTTTACCGGCAAACGGTGTCCATTTCGACTTACTATAAGTCATTGATTCTGCACAAAAAAAAAAAATTGGAAAACTAAGACAAATTACAAGCAGCTCAACTTACCAGGAATGATCCATTCTTCGTCCATATCAACTTCAACATAAGTATTTGGTTGATCTGGTAAATTGAAGATTTTCTTTGGATTTTTATAGAACTTGTTAGTAATGTCTTCCATGGTTAGACGTCCTTCATTAACTGCGTTTAGGAGTAGGGGAAGAATTGTTTCAAGGCCTTAAAAAAATATTTTCAACTGTAAAAAATGAAGATGGAAAATAATTTAGTCTTACCCGGAAATCCAGGAGGTGCGGTTTCGCTCACTTTTTCTTCAAGTGTGTGTGGTGCGTGATCTGTTGCAAAACAATCAATAACGTTTATGTTGTCCCATAAAGCTTGCTGATCTTCTAAGGAGACAAGAACCGGCCTTACTTGACTTTTTCGAAGACCGAGTTTTCCTATATCATTGGTAGATAAGAACAGATGATGTGGGCAAACTTCACAGGTAATTTTTAGACCTTTCTCCTTTGCAGCTTTGATTATTAAAATTTCTTCTTTCCTTGCTACGTGACAAATATGAACGGGCCTAGAAAATAATATGGCAAAAGTACTTTCTCCATTCATGCAACTATTTAGAGCTATTTACCTGTTTGCTAAACTTGCCATTAAAATAATAGCAGCAGTTGTTTGGCTTTCGGCGTGAACACACAATGGTGCTCTTTTAGGCCAGTTAGTCAAATGTTTATCCCACAGATTAAGGTCATCAAGACGAAGTGTGGTGAAGGTTTCATTGAGATACATTTTTAGACCTGCCGCCTCATTAGCTAACTCACAAATTGATGCCGTATTCTCAGAGGAAGCACCTAAATTTATAGAGGTAAGTACATGCTAGTTAAGCTAATGAATTATGTTCCTTACCCACAAATATCGCATAATCACACCTAGCTCCTTCTTTTGCCAATTTTTTAACCAGCAAAAATGCTTCTTCGTCAACGACGGCCGGATTTGTGTTTGGCATTGCTAAAATCATAGTCACGCCTCCTGCTAAAGCAGCAGCGGTGCACGATGCGTAATCTTCCTTATGTGTTGCTCCAGGTTCTCTCACGTGAACGTGAGCATCAATAAATCCAGGAAGTCTAACCAAGTTTCTTGAGCTTATGCAATCAGTGTGAGTTTTCATCGGGGGAGCTCGACCAATTAGACGTAAAGCCTAAAAAAATACCATATTTTGTATAAAGATGTCCAGATATAACTCCGGGGGCCATTTGTTGAAGCCTTTGAGCCCTTGATGTTGCTTTGCGGAAAGAAGTCTTCAGGTCGGTTGGTGTTGTACTTTATGTGTTTCACTTGGTGCAAAGACACCCACACAGAATGGAGATTAAAAATATGAAAAAATAGGCACATTCAGCTTTTGACAGGTAATTAGTAACGTCCCTCTCGACATTGTGTGGTGCAGTTAAAACACCCAATGATGACCGAGAATTGGAGTGGTATGCCAATACCATCCAAGGTGTCATCCCATCATAAAATCCTATAAGATGTCGAGCCCAATGAGGATGTTCCAAAACTCTGGCAACACTTCTGCTTGGTGGTGCCAGGAACTGGAACACCTCAAGGCAATGACAAGAAAAGCTTTCAATGAAGCTGAAAACATGACGACTGGTACCTTTTCAGGTCAATCAGTATAAAAAAAACTGTACGAGAAAAACACAAAGGGATGCCTGGAGGATTTACTGCAACGAAATAGAAAACTTTAAGGAAGCGGCAAGACTTCAGAAAGCTCTTAACAAAGACCAATTTCGGTAAATCGGTATCCTGTGTAAGGTGGATGGCACTTTCACTGTCAACCTTCAGAAAAGCAGAGGGTTACTACTGTCAACCAACTTCCCTGACTCCACAACTACAATTGTAGACGGCCGGACGCAGGTGACATACATATCCCCTATGGCTGATTGGCAACTAGCGAATCAGATAATACACGAGGAAATAATAGGCTGGGCAATATCAGGCTTCTTCGCCTTCAAAGCACCAGGACCTGACGGCATCTATCCAGCCTTACTTCAGTGGTGCCTGGAACTACTCTTGCCGCACCTGGTAGGGATGCTCAGGGTATCCTTGGCGCTGAGATACGTACCCAAGGCTTGGAGGGTAGTCAGAGTGGTGTTTTTACCAAAACCAGGGAAGATAGACTACACCACTCCTCAAGCATATCGCTCTATAAGTCTCTCATCTTTTTCTCCAAAAATAATGGAGAGGCTATGCGAAAAAAAACCAATCCACTCAATCCTAATCAACATGCATACACCCCTGGGAGATCAACGGACACAGCATTCCAATTAATTGGTTGCTGGGCGAGTTGAAAAATTGCTGGACAAAAGAGATTCCACCCTCGGGGTATTCATCGACATTGAAGGAGCCTTCGACAAAACCACCTTTCAAAAAATTTGCCACTCGCTGGCAGAAAGGAGGAATACTCGGGAAACTGTTACCGGATGAATATCACATATGCTTTCCAAAACAATCGTACAGATAAGGGTGCAGAACGTCAACATTAAAGGAATGGCCACAAAATGATGCCCGCAGGGTTGCGTGCTATCACCTCTTCTGTGGAACATGGTTCTGGACAGCCTCTTGTCTGCCTAAATAATGATAACCACTACACCAAAGGTGTATTCTTTCGATCTGAACAGACTGATCGAAGTCCCTTGAGGTTTGTTTCAAACAATTTTCATCCGGTTTTAAAACGATTTCATAGGTCCCAGCTGTTTTTTTGACGCCTCACGAACAAACCTTATGTGATCACAATCAGTTTGTTCAGATCGAAAGAATATCAGGAATAGCTTAGGCAGATGACGTAGTCATCTTGCAAAGAGGTAAATTTGAGAACTCCGTCTGCGAACGCATGCAAGGTGCTCTTCGAATTATAGGAAGATGGTGCACGGAATACACTCTGTCCATCAACCCCAAAAATACTGAAACGGTCCTATTCACAAGAAAGAGGAAACTGGTACTTCCGCCAGCACTCAGACTCTTAAATACCGAACTAAGCTTTGCTGCCGAGGTCAAATATCTAGGAGTGACAAGCGACTGCAAATTAACTTGGAACTCTCAAATCACTAAGAGAATACAGAAAGCATATATCACCTATGAACAGTGTAGACGTTCCATCAGTAAGACCACTATTAGCCGAAAACTAGACCACATTCAAAGAATGTCATGCCTCATCAACATAACGGGTGCAATGAAAATCACACCAACTAGGGCTTCGGGAGATTAGTTAACGACATTGGGATGCAGAAGGCATCATAGGTAACCACTGCATGAAAGGCTTCCAAAGCAACCTTAGTATTCATTCAAATGGCAATGTTCAAACTAAATAACGATTCCGGAGTAAACACCCTAGTCGGATCTCCGCGGGGTGCAAGTATAAACAATGATGTGAAGTCGCAAAAATTCTGTCAACAACGTACAAAACTGGGTATCTGGAATGTGACAGCCATGGCCCAAACAGGTAAAATACAAAACGCCATCAAAGAAATGGAATGGATAAAAATCAGAATTTTAGGAATAAATGAAATGAGATGGCCGAATGCACATTACTGTGATATTCAAGAACATAGAATATACTACTCAGGATGTCCCGTCAAACATGAATACGGAGTGGGAATCAGACTGCACGAAGCAGTTGCACACAATGTCTCATACGTTGTGCCCCTCAATGAAAGAATAATGCTAGTTCAAATAAAACAATTTCAGCAAATGTCAATATTGTACAAGTGCATGCACCCACAAGTGAACATGAAACGGCAGATATAAGTAACTTTTATACTGAATTAACGACGCTCATCAAAAAAATTCCCAAAAAAGTGCTGCTTATAATGATGGATGACTTTATTGCAAAAGTGGGAAGAGGAAGATCAGGAAACCATATTGGACCCCATGGCATCGGAGAAAGAGATGCATTTGGAGAAAAACTGTGTACTTTTGCAGGAGAAAATAATTTAGTCATATTGATCACATTTTTCGAGCTACTTCCGCGTCAATTATATTCCTAGAAAGCCCTAAAAGATGAAAAAGATAGTACAATCATACGGAACCAAATCGACTATATAATGGTAAATCAAAGATATAGAAATAGCTGTGAAGTGGCCAAAACATATCCGGGGGCAGATATAAACTCTGATCAGAATTTGTTAGTAGCCGAATTGAGGGTACAATGGAAGAAGCTAAAAATAAATCATCATACAAGAAAAATAAATGAGTCAGAGGTAAGAACTCAAGTCATGGACATGCTAAGGAACGCTTTACCTGATGTGAAAAACAGTTCAGAAGTTGGGGAAAAAAAAGTAAAATATTCAATGTAACGAAAACAATAAAGAAGGAAATACAGTAAATGTAGATAAGAGGAAACCCTGGATTAGTGATGAGATCCTGAGCTTGATGGAAGAAAGAAGAAAGAACAAAATAGATATGTAATTACATGAACAGATATAGGGCCATCAACAACCAGATTAGAAGAAAAATCAGAGAAGCAAAGAACAAGAACTCAAAGACAAATGCACAGAGATTGTAATCAAGAAAAAGAGACGATGGAGCACATTTTTTGTGACTGCACTGCTCTTTATCCAATACACAGAGCCAGAGTAGGCCAATCATACCCATTCCTAGAAGAGATCAGAGGCACCGCTCTCGGTGACGTCTACGTTAAATCGCTGGATGACGAGCTAAGGATGACCTCTTTTCTTGTGGATGCGCAAAATGGGCCTACTGTGGCCTAAATGCTGTGGCATACCACTCTTCCAAACTTACAGATACAGAACATTGTGTCCAATTGGTTTCAAAATCGGTACGGGTTTAAGGACTTCAAGACCACAAAAAAAAGGAACAAAAAAAAAACAAGCGAAAGTTCAAAGAGCTCTTATTCACGATTCACCGAAATTTTTTATCAACTAATTGTTTTAAAATTGGGTAACAAACATTCTTAGTATGCACTATGCATATTTCAGTTCAAGATTCTGGCTTTTCCGGCTCACTTGAAGTGAATCTACTGATTGATAATAATAATGTACCTCCATAGTTGATTGGCCTAATATTGAAATTAATCTACAAAACTTAATATTGAAAGTAGATGCAATTTTCGAGTATTTTTTTGGTCAAAAATTATCGTAGGTAACAATAACCCAATATTATTGACTTTCTACGAACGTTTTCCCAAATAAATACATGGATATAAATAAGTAATCGATGATGGATTATTGCCTTGATATTGAAAGTAATTACAGATAGCTACAAAATTTAATTTTGCAAGTAGACATAATTTTTGAGAATTTTTCGTGGTGCAAGGATAGGTACGGTGACACTATAAAAGATCAATATCTACATTTTTCCAATAAAAATTATGAAATAGCTTATTTATTTAACTCTACCTATAGGTCGCCTGAATCAATCAAAATAATTATGTATATGATTAATGTCGATTCATGCAATTTTCAAAACAAAGATAATATACAAAATTTTAATTGAATGAGGTCTATAGATTTCAATAGGATATTAGCTTTATACTATGGTTTTTTTTTCTGCTGTTGAAGACGCAGTAAAGCACAGTGGTTTATGGGGGGCAATTCGGAATAAAATGACTCAAATGTAATTATTATCTAATAATCTAATACTAGAATTTTTACTTCACTCAGATTATATTGTTGTGCCACGTATTGATAGGGTTGCCAAGTTTTCGAAATGGAAAATCGGGAGGTTTAAATGTTTAGGTGCCACGCCCAAATTTTCACGAAAGAGTCGTTAAAACACCCTATCAAATAATTTTGTTAAACAAATTACTTGCCAACTCGTTTTTTCCGGAAAAATTTAAAGCAATTATGATATTACCCCCGAGAAATTATTTTCCTTTTAATTTTACTCTAAAACTATCTAGATCTGCTTGGGGCAAGAAGAGTAGGTTTAAATGTAAAGGCTTTGGAGTTTGGAGTGCATGCGTAATCGATGACAGATGGCAAGGTTAGGTTGCCTGATAACTTTTATGACGTCATCTGGGGTGCCTCAACTAATGTCCTCAACATAATGCAAATCTCCATAAGGCACCCTAGATGACGTCATCAAGTTTCCTATTACCAGACAATAACTCTGGTACCAAAAACCCTGAATATGAATAAAGATGCAAATGCCCGATATCGAAAAAAAAATAAAATATTTTGCTAAATATTGAATTATTATTTTTCTTCAGTCAAATGCGAAATTGTTGAAAAGCGAGAGTAAGCGGGAGTTTTTTTAGAAAGCGGGAGTTTTTGCTGCGATGTTTTACGGCGGGAGGCATGACAAAAAAACGGGAGTCTCCCGCCTAAATCGGGAGGGTTGGCAACCCTACACGTATTCAGCCTTATTTTATTAGCAGGACTTGGACATTTTATCATGAATTCTATCAATATTACCATTTCAGCTTCTGGAAATTTTCTTATTTGTGATTTTTCACCAAATGTTACAAGATCTCCTTTAGTACGATTTTTAAAATTTGCTCTTGCTGGTGAAGTCATTTGACTGTTATTTACAAAATTCAAATATTTTACCTTTTAAAATTAAAAAATACTACAAAAAAAATAGTTTTAGTTGAGACACACTGTTCATACCTACAATAAAAGTATAGGTAGTAAACAGTATTGAAGTTCATAAAATTGATAATCTCGATTTTTCTACTATTTTTCTTCTTACAATAAGCTCAATTTCCTTGTAATCGTGCATTTTATTACTATTCGAACACAAATATAATAAAATTCCAAGAAAAATCCCGAAAAAGATTATAAAAGCAAACGATTTATAATACATGATTTAGGACGTAAATTTAAGTGTCCTTTGTTGCAAAACGTTAGCTAGAATAGGGCAAGGGGTTATAAATAGGATTAGCGATTATCTAAAACAAAAACAGTAAAATTCATTTAGTTTTTGATTCGACGTTCACTATATGGAATTATTGATTCTTAGAATTATGTAAAAACTTAAGTAATCTTCGTTTTGAACTAACAATATTATATTGACAGGAAAATCCAATATCACGGATTAAATAACTGCGTTGGTCGATAAACAGCAATAATATCCAATTAATAAATTATTTAAATTTGAATTTGTATAAAAATTCTTACCTCAACTAATAGTTTGGTACATTTTACATCGGTAATCAGTGGAATGGAATAATCAATAGCCAATCTCCTAGTTCTATATCCATGGGTCATGAAAGATGATACTCTCCTAGCTCCACCGTTTCTCATTGGTATATTAATTACTAGCTCAAATTGTTTCTTGGATAAGAATTCAGCCAAATGTTTCAGCTCGCTCTCGTTCTCCGCCATATCGTCGATGTTTTCGAATGTCCATTCGACAGATTGAACCTGGAAAAATTGTATGTGGTTAAATATTAGTCAAGCGTTTTTGATATACCAAACGCTACATAACAGTTAATAGTGTAGAATGTAGGCCCATTATTATACCTACAATATGAACACTGAAGTAAAATAGGCATGCATTCATTTTCTTTCTCTCATGATTGGATGATGCTCACTTGAATAAACTTAGGACTTGTGCTTAATGTAGAGAAAAAATGGGATTTTTTTTTCTGCATTTTCACAAGTACCTTAAAAATAGAATCTTGTTTATATTATTATTTCATAATATCTAGGTACTTTAAATATATTATTATTCCCGTCAATCAATCAATCAATTTTTATCGCATATTAATTTAATAGCAATTTTCTTATTTCAATCAGCTTTCAATTGCTTAGTATTATTCGATATTTTCATGGGATTTTCATCTAAAAAAGTATTTGCGTCATTTATTTTATATTGTAGATTTACTTTCGCTCAATCATAGACAGGAAGCCATTCAGATTGAAAAAAAGCTTTTGGTAGATGATTAAAGAACAATAACATTTGGGTACAAGTTTTATTCAAAGCACAAAACACTTGAGATCAAGTTTTCTCAATAAAAAATTGACAATAAAAATCTTGAAAATTGCGAAATATTGGTGGGGTATTAAAATGAAGAAGAAATAATAAAGGGGAATCAGACCTATATCAGATGTATAGAAAAAAAATATATATTTAAAAGCAAGAAAAAAAATTAAATAAAAAATATATAAGTTTTCTTATGTCACATACAAAAGTGGGTGTCTCTGTATTCTCTCTTGAACTTCCTCATTGATTTATAAAAAAAAATGCCAACAAATCGCGAAAGTAAATCACTGCACAATTCCCAGTATTTACTATTTTCCATGCAGTCATAGAAGATGATTTATTATAGTCCGATAAGCAATCTTTAATTTATTAATCTCAAAATAATTATTGTCATAATTTAGCGTTTAGGAGGAGTATTTGCAAATAAATATACAATAAACATTATGCGTAAAATTTGTAGCTGTGAGTATTTGAACAACAAGAACTGCTACAAGTAACATACTGTATTCCGTGGCTATTGTAGGCTGCAACAGATGCAAGAAAGCATCACTTCTGCATAAAATTTGAGACAATTACTCTTTTTAAAAAAACCTCCCAATGCAAAAACTCTCCTAATAACACATTAACGATATTTTAAGTAAAACCTAATTGTAGTTATTATCATTCTCATCGAAAAAGTGAGATGATAAGCATCCTCAACAGACAACTCCGTCTGTTACGGGACGTTACTTGTTTCTTGGATCGCTAGTGCGCTAAAAAAAGACTTTCGAAGACTCTGTGATATTTTGTAATTAACAAATACATGCCTTTTTAACATAATGGGGTGCCAACATTCCAAACTTAAGCATAGAGTGTCGATCGTGGATACCGCGAATCAGGACAATGAAGAAAAAGTGAACGATGCTGTGATAATCGGAAGACATGACGAGGAAATGATAAATACGATCAGGAGGGATTTGAACGAGACTCCTGAAATGTTTGTGTTGAATAATGTTATTATGTGCACGATGTTTTTGAAAAATTATCAAGAGTAAGTTTAGCAGTTAGACCTGAGTTTTCGAACGTTGCTTGAGGTTTCCTTGAACCCTAAGACATTTTTGAGTGATTGCAATTCACATAATGACAACCTTGCAAAATCTGAGGAACCTTCAAGTGACGACTATAAAATCGGCCCAAAATATTGAAAATCCTGGCGTATGCTTCTGTGATTCACAACGATTGTCGACTACCTAATTACTTTTTTAAACGGGAAAATTAATTCTTAATTTCGATAGAATTCGCCGTAAAGAATTGGAATTATTATTAATTTCGGTAGAATCAGTGCAGTAGGAATATTGCATACCGGTGCATAAACCCCTTCAAACTCATTATTTTCGTTATCTTAAATTTTTGATTGTGAAAAATATTCTATTTTTTTTTTTAATAATTATTATTATTATTATTTTTCCATTTAAAAAAAGAAAATTTGCAACCGACGTCATCTAGACAAATGAGATGGTAAGAGTGACATAATTGACATTAAAATATACCGACACTAAAAAAATCTGAAGAAAGCTAAATGTGCTGGCTTAAGGCTTCATACACGCTGGAAGTTTTTAGAAGATTCAGATTGTCTAGACATTATTTACCAGTCAGTGATACAAAGTGTGGTGATACTGATGCACGATTGCACCGCACACATCTTTCACTAACAAGTGTGAATGAGCCCTTATTCGTGTTTTTTTTTTAATTACCTTCAGCTACCCCACTGTTTCCATTTAATTTACGATTCATTATGACCTAAATACGAAGAGATGCAAATAATATTGGAGCAAGATTGTAATGCTACTGATTAAAGCCGCCTTTGTAATATTTTCGAAATGGAACAAGGATGGCATGCATTAACAATACCTAGTCTTGCACCTATATAAAGTACCAAGTATTGCTTGGTTTTGACTGCTTATTATATGAACTTCTGGAGTGCTACACCTGCACACGAATTGCTGATTTTTTTCGTTTTATTTCCTTTTAAAAATTAGATTGTTCAAGTATCAAATTAGAATACTGCTACCACTACGTTCTTCGCCGTCATCTGAGATCTATCATTCCGATCCAATCAGAGATTTTCTAGCTCTGATATCGCAAACAATTCCTTTTTCCAACTCCCTTCTAGGTCTCCCTCTTTTTCAACCTTTCTGCGGTGTCCAATTCACTATTCTATTCTGTTTTCCGTCCCATATTCTCGCATTTCTTTTTCCACGTCTTCAGTACTTGTTCCAAATAATTTTAGAATACAGAGTTGAGACAGGCAACATTCCTTGTTTGAGGAATTTGCTGATATTGAACTCTCAGATACCAGTCTCTTCATCATTTCGCTCGCGATATGCCTATATAGCTCTTCAACTGCCTTGTAGTTGTTTGTTTTTTTTTCTATGTCTTTTCTTGGCTGGTCTAAAGTGCCGTACTCAGGCTTAATCGCTTCCTTATGTATCTTCTCTGTAAGTGCGCACATCTTGAATTGTATAGTTTTTTTTATCTTATCTGGCGATCCTATAATTTATGATTGAATTTAGACCTCTTGAATGGTGTATTCCACGGTGTTGAAAAAAGCCATTTAATATTCGATGATTATTTTTGTCGCAAATATTCATTGACCTATTCCGTTGACATAGAGTGTCTTCTCCGAATTGGCCTACTATTTTATTTTCAACTTGTTTATCAGTTCTAGCCTAGCATTTAGGTCTAATGGGATCAGGAATACTCCTGAAGTTCCTATTTTTGAAATTTAGGTTATAAAGAGTTGTTCTAAAAACTCGCCTTTATCTCTTACTATAGGGCATCGTCATTTAAAGGCAAAGCGTATTATACTCCTATAATAATCAACTTTGCTTCCATGCAAGCTTAGGTTCAGTATTATGATTCACTAGTATAGACACCCTTGTTCTTTCTTTCTAGTCTTCGGTATAATTTTTACAAAATCCATACTCGAGTAAATATTACGTCTCTTGAAACAACCCCCACTCCTGCTCTTTCCCTGGCAAATCACGCATAGCTCCTCTTCTAGTCCGCCTGCCCTTCCCCTTCGCCCCGATAAGGCTCCTCCTCCTTTTTTTTTGGATAAACTACGCCATTCATCTTTTGAGTCAGACCTTGAACGTTTTAAAGTTCCAAGTACCATTCATTGCCCATTTCCTCCGCTTGGGTAGTCGTCGTTAATCCAGGCGGTCCCAAGGCCTTTTTTTTGAGTTATAATCTTTTTGACGGGTATCGAGTCCTAAACCCCTATCCTAGAGGGCGTGAGCTTGGATTTCGCAGTGTCACTCTCCTTAACCAGTTGTCTTCTCTACAACTTTAAGATACTCCATAAGGTTCAATTTCCCGGTAGGGGGTGGGATGAGCCTGGTAGAGCTAGCGTGTAGCTCTTCCTGATTAGGGGATTCGTTGCTGTTACTACAACCGTGATGTGCCGGTCGCATTCAGCTCGGATGTGGTCCTGAATAGTTTCGAGGTTTGAGTCCCTTGTTATTGTGATGTTCTTGAGGCATCGAGCACGCTTCGGAGAATACGGTTCTCTATGGTTGTAATGCGGAGTCGGGCGCTTGGAATGGCTGTTGTGGCCCAGGCTGAAGCATCGTAGGTTACGATCGGCCTTATGTACAGCTTGTACGTGTTCAACTTGACTGTGGTGTTTAGTTTGGAGCGTCTGTTGAGGAGCGGGTACAGCAGACTGTGCTGTCCTTGAGCCTTATTTCTGATGAAATAGATGTGTTCTCTCGAAGTAAGCCTTCTGTAAAAGATCATGCCCAGGTATTTTGCTTTGTTTGGCCATTCCAGCGGCGCGTCTTTCCATTTTGGCTTGTCGCGCGGTAGGTGCTTCCAATCTTTCTCAAACATGACGGCTTGCAATTTTCTGAGGTTTAATTGGAGGCGCCATCTGTCTATCCAGGCTTCCAGGTCTGCCAGGTCTCGTTGTAGGCAGACTGTGTCGTCTGCATAGGCCCAGTAGCGAGGTCTCCCTTCACCTCGGAATATCTGCCGTGTAGATGTTGAATAGTAGCGGGCTAAGAGAGAGTCCTTCTGGTTGAGGTGGTTTTGTTTGCAGGGGTTTTATCAATCATAACACAGTCTCACTAAGTAGCGTGGGATTTTGGCCCGTAACATTTTCAGGATAAGTCTTTAGTGCCACATCTCGTCGAAGGCTTTAGAAATGTCTAAGAAGACTGCCCCAGTTTCCATTCTGCGGTTTGCCCGTCTTAGGATGGTGCTTGTCAGTCGGGTTGCCTGCTGGACCGTGGAGTTTGACTTCCTGAAGCCCATTTGTTCATTTGGTAGAACGTGAAGGCGGTCGAGTCCTGCAGTTCCTGTCTTATCAGTCTATCCGCTACTTTTCCCAGTGCCGGAAGAAAACTGATGGGGCGGTAGCTCTTGGGGTCGGTGCTGGATTCGCCGGACTTTCGGATAAGTATGGTGTTCGCTTCCTTCCACTTGCATGGAAAGTGGGTTAGCGTGAAGGAGGCCCGGACAATCTTTCGCAACTTCTCTATTTGGTTTTGAGGTAGCTTTTTAGGGCCATGTTTGTGATGTTCTTGCCTAGAGCTTTCCTGCTAACCAGTCCGACTATTGTCTCACATGATCTGGGTTGAGATGATTGGCGGGGGTTCGAGTAGCGGTTTCTGCTGGTTTAGCAGAAGTTAAATGTTGTGCGCAACGTTCCTGTTTTGGTCTGGGAATAGCGACGGGTTTGTTGTGAATTGAGCCTTCACGCTGTCGGTAAAGATTTCAGCTTTGGGGATGGTTATGTGGACGTTGATTTTGTTGGCTGGCAACAATAGGTTCTTTCCTTCCCGTCTGGTTGACTGATTCTCGGTTTTTTTGCCATTGGCTGTTGCCTCGTTGACTTGGAGCTTGATGTTGTGGCTAATCTCGTTCCCTTCCCTCTTCCTTTATATTCGACACCCCCAAATCAGAAAGCGTCACTTTTTATGTACTTAATGTTGTAGAAAAAAATAATTATCATATTATGCTCCATCACACGCTCTATTACTTTTTACTGTTAAAAGCATGGAACGCAACTTCAAATATTCAGGTATATAAATAGCCGGATTAAACGCAAATATTAGACAATTCGCTGCGACAATAATCAAGCATAATCTGGATTCTGAAGGTTGATGCTGGATGTGATGTGATGTCATACTGCGCCTCCAACATTTACTATGGGCTACTCAAGATTATATCGCGACGTTTAATATCATAACTATATAAAAACATAATCTTTTTATTTTAATCCTGAGACGAAACAACAGAAGGTGGTTTACAGTTAATTGTAAATTTTTGTTTTTTTCGAAAAATATTTTGAACAGAATCATCTCATGAATAAAAAGTCCGCCATTCTCCCCTTTTTCACCATATCCATTGATCTTTGAACTACTAGAGGAATTTAAATATAGGGTATTGTGGTTCCAAAGTGGAATCAGACGGTCAGAGGTGCAGTAGCGTATTTAGGTATTAATTTGATAGATAAGAACATTTCAAACATCAGCGCTCCATTAATATGAGCGCCATTCTAGAAGCCAAACAAGACTCACGGCAAATCTCTGTTGCTATTGGTCTATCAGGGTAATTTGCGTAGCCCGTGCATTAAATTGCAGGCGGATTAGATGCTATCTCCACTAATCCAAGTTATAAATATAAATCCCAATTTATTTTATGTTGAAGATCAAAGATATTGCACAATTTGCAGTCCTAATCCATGTTATTTAAATAATATAATCATGAGCACCAATGTTGTTCTTTAATCAGAAGAAAATTGTTTATATTCAAGGAAACGGAAACATTTCCAGAAAATCGTCAGTTGACATAGAAAGAATATGGGAAACAGTCTTGAATAATTTTAAGCCCCTTGAACTGTAAATTTTGGTTTTATTGATACTCCAAAACACGAGAACTACAAGAGATGTTGAAGGAAACTTCGTCCAGGAGTGGATAATGAAAAACTGTTGGGTAGCGAGATTAATCGATTAAAATTGTTGAAAAAAATGCTCTTTGAACAGATATCTAAAATTCACATATTAATATTATCTTAATTTTCACGTCATCTTATCAAATCGGCGTCCTTTATGTTGATTGTGATTCCCCTTTTTTTATTGTGCGTATAATGAGGATTACACATACAAACTTTCGCCCCCAAATATGATGACATAGATAGGTACAAATAAAGCGTAACTTCATTATTCGTTACGTTTTAGAAATTAATTGTCTACGGTTTTTTTTTTCAGAGATATCTATCAAGTCCTTAAACAAATGGACAATGCACCAAATAAATTTTGGGAACCAGACATAGTCATGGAAAAAGCCAACAGGAACGTAATTTACCGGCCAATGCACGGTTCAAATAAAGACATAGCATCGCCATTGACAACAAGAAGAATTTACGTCCCTATGAACGACTATATTGAAGTTTTCAATCCGTTGGATGATGAAGATGCTGCTGCTGATGATGATGACGAAAAAGAGCATATCAGCAAATATCATGTAAAAGTTGAAGAAAGTAAAAGACCGGGTAAGTGGAGAGATTAGATCATGACATGAAATTTTGAGTATATTTTGAATTTTAAATGTTTATATAACATTTTTGCTTTCACGAAGGTGTAATGAAATAATTTTGAAAAACGATAGAATAAATGCCTAGGTAAGTGACAATGATATTACTTAGGGGCATTTATTTAGTTGAAAACTGTTATGATATGAGCATATCATACCTTCCATGACGTTCATACATCGCTCAAAATATGAGAAGATATGTTTTTAAACGTGCTTCTAATAGTAGGAGGAATTTTTTTTATCATTATTAGGGTGATATTTTCCAAAACAATATAAATACTCCAATCTCCTCAGTTACCATTGGCCTTTGTTCTGAAATATGGAGCAATAATGGCACAATATCTCACTGATTATCATGAAAGAAATATTTTTGAAACTAAGTGGATAATTATGTATGTACTTGCTGCAACGTAGATATAAAATATTGAGCAAATGTGTCAGTTAACCCAAAATACATTAGATGTATCTTTACAAAGTAGCGATTTAAAAAAAAAACGATAACCAACATAGCAACCCAAGTTTTTATAATATGTCTTTTTTGTATGTCACACTTTTGCGTATTGCTTTTATCGCTGTTTCCTAAATCACTCTTTCATACATTTCCCAAATAAGATAATCTGGCAATTTAGGTACCTATATTTTTTTGAACTTTAATAATACTAGATCAAGCCTTTGGATTTTAGTATTTGGTCCCTAATTATCACCATACTAAATATATTTTAAATCTTCCAAAAACTTACCAGTCATAATGAATCAATTTTTTAGGTTACGTAAAGTTACGCCGCATTAACGCAGAAAGAAATAATGATAAAAATTCTCTAAAAGACATGTTGGTAGTGCCCTCATCTAATGCATCCAGTAGTAGTGACACGGAGTCAACAATTACGTCTTCTGGATCACCCATCCAGGATAATTTCCAATTAATCAAAGACCAAACTGATGAGGGAGTTTCTTTGGACGATTGCTTTGTTTTCAGGTAAAAATTTAAGCTTTTATTAATAACCTATTAGTAAATGAAACTTTTTGCAGAAAAGTGAAAAAACCAGACATTGACATTGAGTTAGAAGAGTTGGATCACGAACACCTGACCGAAGATGACATCTATGATATTGTTTCCTATCTGCCTTCAAAAAAATTCATGAAATATTTCAGTAAAATATTTAAAGAATCCATGGCCAAAAAAATTGGACTTATCCAGTATGAAATCGATCATGCAGCAGTAGACGATCGAATTCCTGGAAAAATATTTTGCAATCTTAGAGATGAAAATGGCAACTCTTATCCAGTTGAGGTTGTGCCCTGTTTAAAAACTGCTTGGCCTAAAAAACAAACTTATAATTTATTAGAAGGTAAACCTAATCATAATATGGAAAGCGACTGGACAGGCTTCGACTTTCAATGGCCCACCCATGAGATGCTGGATGAAATGAAAACTTTCGAATGTGCCTTGGTTCCGAAAGGATATGCAAGAAATAATGGAACAGTTCCTGAAGGTAAGAAGATAAAAAATTCCAACTAGGTATTAACACTTCTACATTTTTTTTTAGATGATCTGGAATGGGAAATTCATTTTCCTTTAGCAGAAAACTATTTAGAAATGCTACTTCGTCCAGAACAGATAAAATGCTTTTTACTACTTCTATCAATCTACAAAGAATATTTGGAACCTAAAACTAAGGTTCATGGTATAGTTCCCGAACATTTGCTCAACATGATGTTTTGGGAAGCAGAAAAGAATTACGACGATTGGCCGACTCATCGACTAGGTTTCCGGTTAATTAACGTTATAGAAAATTTTTCCAATAGGCTTACAGAAAGAGTTTTACGTGACTTTTTCATAAGAAAAAGAAACGTTTTAAAAAACGTACCCACAAAGTGTATAGTGTACGCCGGCGAGGAATTTTTCAGAATTAAAGAATCTCCCCTAATTAAAATTTTAAGAGCTATGCGAAACGTACGATACACCAGCGGTACATTTTATCCGCCACTGGACTACAAGGAGCTATTGAATATATTATACAAGACAGACTGGGATGTAAATCCATATTTGAGCAATACAAATCTCAAGTCTGACGGTATATCTATATCGACATCTGGTAAAAAGCCAAAATTTATGGACGCAGAAAAACAGTTACAGCACGTAAAGCTAATGCAGATGAGGAAGAAAGCTCAGAAGAAGAAAAATATAGAAATTGATAGGAAAAAATCAGAAGTAATCAGTTATAATAGTACGAAAGAGAGGAGAGACTCTGTGGATAGCTTAGACGATCAAGTAAGTGAACCTATTGTTACGAATTTGTTTGATTACGACAATATTAGAGAGAACGATATCACTTTTAATTCACGCTTTTGGCGTTTTCTAGTTATGTAAGTTACTACCGACTATATTGTAGGATTCGAAATTGGACTCAAGAGAACTTCAGATTTCAAATCTGTCAGTTCTGTGCTCTGATTGGTTGATTTGATGAGAGAAAAAAAAAACTCACATCAGAATTGGCTCAAATTTGGTATAAATATTCTTTGATCGATTATCTATAATCCGAATACCCTAGTTTTCCGATATTTTTTTTTTGCGTAACCTCATTATGTCTGGATAATAGGCAACCAGATATAGATTCACATAAATTATTTTTCATTTCGGAAAAAAACGCAAAAAATCGGAAAACTAAAACATCCGGATTGTAGATAGCCGATCAAAGAATATTTATGCCAAATTTGAGCCAATTCTGATGTGAGGTTTCTGTTTCCCTCATCAAATCAACCAATCAGAGCACAGAACTGACAGATTTAAAATCTGAAATGTTGTCATTAATGCCCTCTTGAACGTATTCATTATCCTAATCAAGAGGTTGAGACTCCGTGGTTGGGTGGACACCCTAAGCGGAGTTGCTAGGTGGTCCAAAATATTCTCAACTTGGAGAAAAAAAAAATGTGGCAACTACACACTTCCGTTTAATTTATAACTGTAAAAGAGTTTTTCTTATATCCTCAATATTTTATCTTCTTATGAAACAAAAATTCAAGGAGCCCAAGGGGGACACCAACTTTGAATTTAACCCGAGATTAAATTCACCTGGAATTTTTAATCATGGATTAAATTCAAAGTTGATGTCAAATGATAGTTTATAAAAATCTAAGATAGGAATGTAACATCGGTTTTCGTTTAAAATTAACCCTTTGGGTTTTACAGCCTGTCAAAGTTGCAAAAAGTCAATTTTCAACTGTCAATATTTCCGAAACAGTTGAACTTAGGTATAGGGTGAAATAAAATCTGCTCAGAATTTTACGTAGAATCCAAATATGCAATTACATATGGGGTGTTCCATTTAAAATAACAAAGTTCTGTCACATACCACATAAACGGAGCACCCTGTATATTCAAGAATATTTTTAACTAATGCATATTAGAGTATCAAACAACTTTGCAATTTAATTTTTTTTCTTGCATCACCCTGTAAGGAGATATGGGCAGATATCGCACTAAGTGGACACCCTGTATATTATTATGATACCTTTCTATAATTTCATGATAACAATTCAGAAAAAGAAAGTGAAAGATGAATATCGTATATTTATTGCGGAATTTTTTTTAAAATTGTTTCTTGAGATAAGAAAATTCAGAGAAAAGCTACATAATTTTAATAAACAAATTATTTAAAAAAATAAATATAGCTATCTGGGGTCACAACAAAAGTTTTAAGTGTAGATTTAACAAAATGATAAATTATCTCATCACTTTTTTCAAGCCCTTTTTCTAAAGTTGATTTGTTTTTCAGTGGGAATGCGAGAAACGTTTCGATCTACCCAAAAAGATAGCCCTCCTCAAATTCTTCATCAACAATTTTATCGAAATAGCCCAAACCAGTATGAGGATAAGCACCAAAAAACAAACCCTTTTTTACCTAAAGCAAGCCTGGTACCTCACCAAAATCCTAGAAGAAGAGAACAAACTATTTGCCGCAGACGTTGCGGGATATTTTGACGTAATAAAAAAACAAGAAGACAAAGTGATAACAGCGATGCAGGTTAATCTGAGTACCTATGGAAAATTGGAAGTTTTCAATATTGATACTAACAATAACAAGAATGAAGAATTAGATGATGATTTAGATGATCTGGACGAGTTGCCAAAAACAACTCTTAGTAAACAAGCAATTATTGATCATTTGATGCATGAAGCTGACATTCATCAACAAATCAGGCATATGAAAATAAATTTGAAATCTTTAAGCAAATCGTTTAGTAGTAGTTATAATAAGCAAGTAACTTTTGAAACTTCAAGATAAACTGGATTTCAATTTAGGTAAATTCTTTTGAACTAAGTCGTACATACTGTGATATATTATACATTTTTGCCTTTATAATGTATCTATATTCACAAAAGATGTTTTTTTTTTTTTTTAATTTAGTTTGCTTGTGTTACAGTTATCAATTTTACTGCTTCATACTTATAGTCTGTATGGAGAATAATGTAAAAGATGGGGCTGTTTAAAAATTATTTTTAATTGTGAATATTTGCCCTGAAGGCAGAAACCTAGACTTTAATACTCAAGAATTAGATCAAATTTTTTATTTGGCTACTTTAGATGTTATTTAATCCAAATCGATTTATAAAAATGGATGTCGTCAAATGATTGAAACATAAATAGTTTTCAATAACAATATCATTTTCAACGAGATTTTCAATTGAAAATTATTATGATGAAGTATGACAGGATTAATAAGAGGCACTCAAAAAACATGTCCCAAGCATGTTTACCTAAAATAAATTTCTAGAAAGTGAGAAGAGTTTTGTTTATTTTTTTGCACATTCTGTGTTGACTAGGAAAGTTTTTAATTGCACGTAAATTGAAATTTAGAATCTAGTTTAAAAGTTATTTAATAGAAACAATATGAAACTGTGATTATAACGTCTATGTATTTTGTAATAAAACCATTTGGAATCTGAATTTAGAGTTTTGAAAAGTACTTCTGTCAAGTGTAATTCTCATGCAGCAAAAATACGAGTTGTGGGGGCCAATTCTGAAAAAAATGTCCCGCTCCGGTGACTCACAAGAAATTCATTAACACTTTGAGGTGAGATGGATTTTAAAAAAATCCCCAGCATAAAACGTCTGAATATCCAAAAGAAATAATTTTTGTAAAATTTCAAAATTTCTTAACCAAGTGAATTGGTAAGATCATTGAATTATATTATAGAAAAGGAAATATTCAGAAATTCGTACCCATTGTGTGCATTGAATAGAAAAGAATTTACGAGAGGGGTTTAAAAATTTTGTATATTATATAAAGCGCGTAGTGACTAACTTTCCTACAAATTTATATTATTGCTAGCCCAGTGCTTTTTCCAAACATGTTTACAGTTGTGAGAAAACAATATATTTATCTTACCTTTACTCCATGCTCTGTATAAAAATCGGCAGTACCCAAACTGGCAAAGAGATTGTACCCCAAACTTTTCAAAATCTTCATGCACGGCAATAATTCCATTTTGTGCTATAGAAATTCAAAGATTTATTTCAAATTTCTCAAAATTCTTCACCTCACCTTAAAACTTCCAACCGACAATAAAATCGACTTCTTCGGTATACTAAATCCAGTACTCATCAGGGCTTTAAGGTAGGCCTCATACCTATTATCTCCAAAACATGCAACTTCTCCTGTAGAAGCCATTTCAACTCCCAACATAAAATCGGCACCAGCCAATCTAGAGAATGAGAACTGGGGTACTTTAACTCCTACTCTACCACAACCTCCCAATATATTTACAGGTTCTACAGGTTCTCCCACAATTACCCTAGTGGCCATCGCAACAAAATCATGATCAAGTGTCTTAGAAACAAATGGGAATGATCTAGAAACTCTAACATTACATTCAATAACTTTTAAATAATTATCTTTCGCAATCAATTGCATATTGAAGGGTCCAGTTACTTCCAGTGAAGCTGCAATAGATTTGCTTATGTACATGATTTTAATTAAAGTTTCTTCATTGATGTCTTGTGGCGGTGTTACTAAAGTAGCGTCTCCTGAATGTACACCAGCATTTTCAACATGCTCTGATACAGCCATACATAAGATTATACCATCACACGCCACAGCATCTACATCAATTTCTTTGGAGTCCAAAATGAATTTTGAAATAACAACAGGGTGTTCTTTACTGACGTCGCTCGCAGCATTTAAATAAGTTTTCAAATCTTGATTAGAGTGAGCAACATTCATTGCTGCACCACTAAGAACATATGAAGGTCTCACAAGACAAGGATAGCCGACTTCTTCACAAAATTCAAAGGCTGCTTTCAGGTTTGTTAATTCTTTCCATCTGGGTTGCATTATTCCAATCCTATCCAGCATTCTGGAAAATTTAAAGCGATTTTCTGCACCATCAACACTATCAGGAGAGGTCCCCAATATTCTAGCCTGTTGTCTATGAAGATCCATGGCTATATTGTTTGGCAACTGCCCTCCCATGGATAAAATAATGCCTTCGGGATTTTCTAGGTTGTAAATATCCATTACAACTTCAAAAGTTATTTCTTCAAAATATAATCTGTCTGATATATCATAATCGGTACTAACAGTTTCGGGGTTGTAGTTTACCATGATGGTCTTTTTGCCTAATCGACGTAACTCTCTGAGGCAACCGACCGCACACCAATCGAATTCTACTGAACTTCCTATTCTGTAAACCCCCGAGCCAATCACCATAATATGTTGTTCATTAAAATTTAAATCATGATGTGTGGCATTATAGGTCAAATATAAATAATTTGTTGTTGCCGGCCATTCAGCTGCCACAGTATCAATTTGCTTAACAAATGGCCTTATATTAAATCCTTCACGTTTATGTCTTATAGCAATCTCAGTACTTTTAGCAGCAGTTGCAATCTGCTTATCAGAAAAACCCAATTGTTTGGCTTCAAGAAGATTTTCACTGGTAAAATTATACCATTCAATGGTTTCCATTAGAGAATTATAGTCAACAATGTGCTTCATTTTTTGTAAGAACCATCTGTCGATTTTTGTGAGGTCATATAATTTTTCAACAGAATAACCTTGCTTTAAGGCTGCTGCGATAACGAACATTCTTTTGTCTGTTGGTTCCATTAATTCAGCATCATCAACCTGAAAGGAGATAACAATTAAGATTTCAAATATGGGTAGATTTCTTAATCCGCCACATATTAGAATGAATATCTGCTCTTAATAAATTAAATTCACCTACCCGATTAAAGTATGGGTCAAAACCAGGAAAATTCTCATCCACCATCCTTAAAGCTTTCTGAAGAGCTTCCTCGAACTTCCTTCCAATAGCCATAACTTCGCCAACACTCTTCATTGAACTTCCAATTTTTGTACTGACTCTGGAGAATTTATGCAAATCCCAACGAGGTATTTTAACCACGCAATAATCCAAACTAGGTTCAAAACATGCAGTGGTAACGCCTGTGACTGAGTTTTTAATATCCGGCAAAGCAATCCCCAGAGCTAATTTAGCAGCTACATAAGCTAGAGGATATCCAGTTGCTTTGCTAGCCAAAGCTGAACTTCTGGATAGCCTGGCATTCACTTCAATAATAAAGTATTCTTCAGAATAAGGATTTAAGGCGTATTGAATATTGCACTCTCCTACAATGCCAAAGTGCCTGATGACCTTTATAGCGGTAGTTCTGAGCATATTATATTCCCTATTTGATAACGTTTGACTAGGAGCTACAACAATGGATTCTCCAGTGTGAATTCCCAAAGGATCCACATTTTCCATATTACAAACAGTGATGCAATTATCAAATGCATCACGGACTACTTCATATTCAACTTCTTTCCATCCTTTTAGAGACTTGTCAATGATTAGTTGGCTAGAGTGAGCAAGGGCCTGAGTAGCCAAAGCTATAAGCTCTTCTTTTGAGTTTGCAAAACCTACAACAATCAGTTATTTTGAATCAATTTTTTTTTAAATAGGTATGAATTTTATTACCTGATCCTAATCCTCCCAGTGAAAAAGCTGCACGTGCCATAACAGGATACCCCAAATTCTCTGCAGCACTTAAAGCTTCATCAACTGAATATACTGCCATACTTGGTGCAACTTTTTCTTCTATTTCTGCAACCCTTTCACTGAAAACTTTTCTGTCTTCAGTATCGATAACAGCCTGAATAGGAGTGCCAAGGATTTTGCAATTGTATTTATCGAATACACCCATTTTTTGAAGCTCTACCCCGCAATTGAGTCCAGTTTGCCCTCCAAAAGTTAGAAGAACACCTCCAGGGCGCTCTGAACGGATCACTTGCTCAACATATTCTGGAACTAGTGGAAGAAAATATACTTTGTCGGCAAGTCCTTTTGATGTTTGTACTGTTGCAATATTTGGATTAATTAAAAGAGTTTGGATGTTTTCTTCTTTTAATGCTTTTATAGCTTGAGAGCCTGAATAATCAAATTCACCAGCTTGTCCAATAGACAGCCCTCCGGAACCAAGTATTAATATCTTTTGAGGCACTTCTTTTAACATTGGTGCTGCACTAACAAACTTCAACTGATTAGTTAACATTTGTTTAACGCTGTTGGTGGACTTTGGACCATCTTTCACAGCATCCAAAAACACGTCGAAAAGACATTCCAGATCTTGTGGTCCAGCCATATGTTCTGGATGGAACTGGACGCTGAAAAATGGCGAGTGTTTATGGACAATGCCTTCACTTGTTTGGTCGTTGGCATTGGTAAAAAGTGGTTCCCAGTCATTAGGGAGACTCTTAGTATCAATGGCAAATCCGTGATTTTGGGACGTCATGTAGCAACGGCCGGTACCGTGGTGAATACAAGGTTGATTGTGACCTCGGTTACCATACCTGAAAGAAGAAAACACTTACTATCACTGATAACATAATTAAAACAGTGAAAGTCCATCGTGGTACCATATAGGTTTAGAAAGGCAAATATATAATATAATAACTGAAATAAAGTTTGTTTCACGAGGGTTTGTACTTTTGGCATCGACGATGTCATGGAAAAAAAAAGGTTTGTCGTAGATTAATGCATATATTTTCATTTACGCGTCTTTTGACACCATCAATTTTTTTTGACAAATTTATTGAATGACTTCTGGTTTTAAGAACCGACGAACGTTTTTGATGTCATTACTTTGTTAAAAAAGGAAGGCAAATGATGTAAAGTACAAAGCCTCATGAAACAAAGTGCACCTATATTGTTTAAATGCTAAAATCACTTACTTCATTTTGAAGGTTTTGCATCCAATCGCCATAGACAACAATTGATGTCCTAAACATATACCAAATATCGGTTTCTTCTGGCTACAGTTTAATACTGTTTTAATATGGTCAATGGTTTTCTTGCACATTTCTGGGTTGCCAGGGCCGTTGCTCAAAAACAAACCATCGTATTCTTCTACATTCAATTTGTGGTCCCATGGTACTATGTCTACTCTCGCTCCTCGGTTGAGGAAGCAACGGATCTGGTTGTATTTGAGTCCACAGTCTACCGCACAGATTCTTGGCGAACCAGTTGGGTTGTACGTAACTGTTTTCTGGAAAAATATATAAAAATATGTAGAGACAATAGTTATTTTGTAGAAACTTACCTTTATTGAGACTTCTGCGACCAAATTATTTAAATTTGGATCAGAGAATGAAAGAGAATCTATTGGAATGGGTAGAGTATACATTAGCTTTCCCAGCATGGATCCTTTTTCTCTTATGATCTTAGTTAAGTTTCTCGTATCGATGCCCTTGAATATAAAATTCAAGCGTTAGTAGAAACAAATATTTATTAAAATAAAAACAAACCTGTATTCCTGGAATGTTTTGATCCTCCATCCATTTGGATAAAGTTTTCGCGTTACGCCAATGGCTTGGCTTATCACAGTGTTCACCCACGATAAGACCAGCTGCCCAAATACGGTCTGATTCAAAAAAACTGAGAAAAATATGACATTGATAGAATAAATATTTTTATAGAATAAGCAAAAACTTACTATGGCAATCCATGCTCATCTAGTTGTTCTCCTGGAACACCGTAGTTTCCAATGATAGGGTAGGTAAGAATTAAGAGCTGGGAGTGGTAACTTGGATCAGTAAGCGACTCTGGATATCCTACCATGCCAGTCTGAAAGACTAGAAAAAAATGTGTTGGAACTTTAAAGTTAATGGTTATTGATATTGTGGAATTTTGTTGGCCGAGAGAACACCGTGACGTTGAACATGGGAAGCACCGATCTGAATGTAGACGAAATAGTTGCTGAGATAGTAGATGGGTTTCTGTAAACTTCCTAAAAAAAATGTTGAGACTGGGCAACGGAAAAATACTCTTTTCGTAATCCTCAAATTAGGACTGTCAAGTTAAAATCATTGTCAACGAAGATGGACAAACTCTAGGTTCTAGTGAAACGATTGTGAGGACATACAGAGAAAAAAAGCTAGAAGGTAGCATGGTAGTGCAACATGGATTTTCTCGGGAATCACCATACTATCAACACCTTATCAGGCTTTGAGCGGTTTTCAACATTAGATTTAAAAAGTTTCGGAGAGAAGAACGCCTTCACAACTGAAAAAATAATATTATTTTTAAGAAACTGGTGACTTTAATTCTACGGGGACTCGGGATTATTTAATGCTTGGAAGACCGGATGCTGTCATAGTGATTGACAAAGATTCCGAAGAACACCTCTCCAGTTTGTCGAGAGCTTTTGTCAAAATTGGAAGTGCTAACTTACAGGTGAAGATCAGAGAAACTACAAAGTTACGACTTCCAAATCAAACGAAGGCCATGTATTAACAACTCCTGAAAGTTTCGCCAACGGCAAAAAGTTAAGAAGACAGAAAAGCATCAGTCAGAAACACTAGACTTGTTCAACAGAATGATAAAAAGAAATTTTGCGTGACTTGCTAGCATACGGACAACAGCCTGGTTGGCAAGACAATTCCAGTTTTAGTCCAAGGGTGATGAGTTTCTTGTTACAAAGAGATTCGTTATGCCTGCACGATGATTTCAGTCACTCGTAAATCGAAGAGTGTGAACGGGAAAAGTCTGGTGGTATATTAGCCCATCATGCCACGCCGCGAAGAATCACAGCTGTCTAAGTGGTGGCCACTTTGGAGCCAATAGGACGTTAGCTCGAGTCAGAGATCGCGTCGGGATGTTGAAAAATGGTGCAAAAGATGCGATCTGTGTGCATCCAAAAATAAAGGACCCAAGACATAATGCAGTTGGAAAAATTATGCACAATCTTGCAACACTATCTGATGACTAGATAATTGGTGTAATGAAATTTTAGCGCACAATAGTCGAACGAATTCGAGACAAATTGAAAGCGAATTATCTAGAAAATTCTAGAGGTGACGACGGGTAGTAAGTTATAAATTAGATGTCAGTGTTACAAGATGGTTGAACGCGAATGAGTCAATAACCGAATAATTTTGTGGCACAAGTCGACAGTAAGGCAGCGAGCTGTGATTGAGTTTGTGACAAGTTAACCTTGTGTGTTTTATTTACAGGGCAACGAGGTCCCTTCATTAGGACATTCTCACAACCTATTTAACGACGTCGTTGTGAACTCGTAACAGTATAGGCATGCATCAACATCAGCCGCCTATTAGAGCAGGAGCAATATTTGATAAAACAAGAAATTTAAAAGTTGGTACTAAAAAGCCTGAAGTTTCTGCAAAGTTTTATAATAGACCTCTTCAATGCGATAAGTAGACATAATATATTGTTGAAACAATATTTAACTTTGGTTAATTAATTTATTGTTAACAAATCTTACCTATACTATAGGTTTCTAATTATTGGATGCTGTTATTTAAATTTAATTTGGTAGGTAGATACCTATTATATGTTGAGGAAATAATTATTAATGGGAAAAGGTTTATTTGTTTACTCTGCAACCAATACCTAGTGTTCAGGGTGATTTGCTTCTTTTTTAGGTTTTATAATCAGTGTTGTTCTTGGGGAATTTTCGTGTGTGCCTGCAGCAACACTCAAATAGTGCCAAATAGTGCCACTTAGTAAAAAGTGATGTGAGAGGGTTTTTTGACTTTTCACCTATTTCTTTTTATCACATGATTAAAAGGAGAAATGTATAATATATTTCATGTAATAAATTTACTATAATGACAATTGACCACTTTCACTGTCACTGGTCACACTCACATCCACAGCAGCCGGATTCTACTTCACGAGTCGAGTCGAAATTCGTATCCAATTGTCAAAATAGTGATTCTATTTTTTAATTTTTCAATCCGTATTACACGGTACAGTCGTGAGAATTAAAGGTGGGACACCCGACTGACAGGTCCTGTCATTTTTCGCTATTTTGGGTAGTCTTTTCTGTACAACGGATTTCTTGTCAAATATGACATTGCCGACGGTGTAGCTGGTGGGCCCGTTTTACAATAGGAAAATTCGAGTGTTCCATTTTTTTATGCTCACGACTGTACGTGCGGATTGCGGAGCTGTCGCATTCGATATCAAGTGTCATAACAGACAATTCGACTCGACTCGTAAAATAGAATCCGAAGGCAGATCCAATGACCTGACAAATCCACGACAACTCTCACAGATCAGGACTGAGGTCACTAGCACAGAACTAAAATGAACAAAAAATACAATAGAATAGAAATAAACAAAAAATCCTGCTCCAGCTCCAATCTTTCTCATCCAAAAAATTTGAAAAAGGATAATATCTAATAAATGTGAATCGTGCCAAATTTCTCAACTGTGCATTTTGCGGGCGAAAGTGCCACTTTTGGCACAATTGTGCCCTTTGAACAACACTGCTTATAATTGAAATATAGAATATCAATAAAAAGCAAAAAGAAAAATATAAAATTAATATAAATTTATACTAGGTATATAAAAAAATTAACTTAACCCAATTATTTCCTCAACGTCAATTTTCAACGGTGGTTGTTGAATTACCAGCTTTTTTACATTTTTATGGAAGTAGGGTAGGTATATAGTTGGATCACACCTCATAGGCTTGACTTGCCATACAAGGCTGCAGAAGTTCAGATTTTGTCATGAAATAAAATACTATCTCATTGATGTAAACAAATCGTAATTTCATATTTCATGTAAAAAATTAATTAACACAAACAAACAGTAGTAAATAACTGAAGTCGTTGAATAATTATGAGTAATTTTTCAAAATAACTTTGCGAAGAAGGTTATCTTTCTACGCTGTCTGTAAATGGAATTTAATATTCTGTAACCGAAAGATTCTTTGCCGAAAGCGTGTGGACAAATGTGATATAAACATGTTTCCTGACAAGATTTTTGAAGGTCTATAAACCTAGCAGTCCCAAGGTGGAAAAAAACTTCGGAAACTATATAATAATTAGGGGCTCTAATTAAAAATTAGGTGCTCCTTTAGTTTTTGAGAAAATCAAAAAAAAAACTAAGGGACTGATAGGTTTATGAATGCTAGCAGTCCCCTATAGTAAAAAATATTTTTTCAAATCTTTTCTTTGTATCAGAATTAGGGGCTTTTTAGGTGCTCCTAAATAGTCCAAGAAAAAATTGAATTGATTAATTATTAACTGAGTTACAGATTTTTTTTAATTATTAGGGGACTGCTGGCTTTACGTTTACATGTTGATGTGTCAGTTTGGAAAAAAACTTCGGGATCTATATAATAATTAGGTGCTTTTTAGGTGCTAATCAGGGCCTCTAATTAAAAATTAGGTGCTCCTCTAGTTTTTGAGAAAATTTAAAAAAAAAATCTGTAACTCAGTTAATAATTAATCAATTCTATTTTTTCTTCGACTATTTAAGAGCACCTAAAAAGCACCTAATTCTGATACAAAAGAAAATTTTGGAAAAATATTTTTCACTATAGGGGACTACTAGCTTTCATAAACCTAGCAATCCCTTAGTTTTTTTTGATTTTCTCAAAAACTAGAGGAGCACCTAATTTCTAATTAGAGGCCCTAATTAGCACCTAAAAAGCACCTAATTATTATATAGATCCCGAAGTTTTTTTGCCATTCTGACACACCAACAAGTAAACGTAAAGCCAGCTGTCCCCTTATAATTAAAAAAAAATCTGTAACTCAGTTAATAATTAATCAATTCTATTTTTTCTTCGACTATTTAGGAGCACCTAAAAAACACCTAATTCTGATACAATAAAAAATTTTGGAAAAATATTTTTTACTATAGGCGACTACTAGCTTTCATAAACCTAACAATCCCTTAGTTTTTTTTTTGATTTTCTCAAAAACTAGAGGAGCACCTAATTTTTAATTAGAGGCCCTAATTAGCACCTAAAAAGCACCTTATTATTATATAGATCCCGAAGTTTTTTTTTTCATTCTGACACACCAACATGTAAACGTAAAGCCAGCTGTCCCCTTACAATTAAAAAAAACATCTGTAACTCGGTTAATAATTAATCAATTCTATTTTTTCTTGGACTATTTAGGAGCACCTAAAAAGCACCTAATTCTGATACAAAGAAAAAATTTGAAAAAATATGTTTCACTATAGGGGACTGCTAGCTTGTATAAACCTAGCAGTCGTTTTTTTTTTATTTTCTCAAAAACTAAAGGAGCACCTAATTTTTAATTAGAGGCCCTAATTAGCACCTAAAAAGCACCTAATTATTATATAGATCCCGAAGTTTTTTTCCACCTTGGGACTGCTAGGTTTATAGACCTGATTTTTGACGATATGGATTTAAACATACCTCATCCATACATATAAGAAACTCATTCGCATTTCAAATACCACGGGTGGGTTGTACCTAACGTAAGCTTTGGTTGTACTAGCCCACTTTTTTTACGGAAGTTCTGCAAAAGGGTAACATGGTGATTACAGCAGGTAGGACCGGCATAATCAAAATTAAATTTTATTCTGTTCACTATCAAAATTGGAAGATTCAATGACCTTGTCTTATTCTTAGGTATTGAAAGGTACGTTCTCGTCGAAATTTTGCGGTATTTTTATTTAGTGTCACTAAAAATCAACAAATTTTGTTTTAGCATGATGCCTTATTAGAAAAAACGAAAAAATCTTAATCAAATATTGCTGTATTCAAGACAAAATCAAATACAGGTCATCCTGAACAGGGCTGCCATTAATTATTTTTTGCTCCAGTATAAGGAGGTATAAGCACGTGGCCGAACAACACAGTAAAAGAGGCAGAAGATTTATTGAATTTTACGATATTTCTCATATCGGTGGATATAGTATACCTAGTATCAAGTCCAACAAAGCAAACAGTGTCTACAAATCAAGAAGTGTTTAATCGTAGTACCAACTGTTGATAACCCAAATAATGAGTTTATATCGACCCCTAAATTGAATGAATACAAACTCATTGACTGTTTGAGTTTTTAACAGGTGGTACCTGGATCAAACACTTGGTTCCTTTTGGTTTATATTTCGCCACACTATCAAGAATTTTTCAAAAATTGTTTCAAAATTCTAGTAGAAACTATATTTTTTCCGGGGTCTTTCCATCTTATGGAGAAATGTAATGACTATTTAACTAAGGTAATAAAGAGGTAGGTATAGAATATCTGAAGGTATTCCCTAGCTCATACCTATCCTAGCAGGGCCGGTCAATAAAATTTTACCTGCCACTTGAATTTGGGCATCAGAACAATGGGGTTCAATCAGGTAAATTTTTATGACGGAAGAAAGTCAAAAGATATAAATTGAGACCTATAGACTTGGGTATATGGTTTATAAATCACTAAAAATTAGTGTGCCCTTCATCTGATATTTTAAGTTTAATAGGCTTTTGAAAAAATTGAGCATTTTAATTTCATGATTATTGCGTATTTCTTTTCACATATCATCAAACAATGGTACAGGATGGTTTTACATTAATACTACCGGAAAATACCAAGAATCTGCGTCTAAATCAATTTATTATTTTAATATTGTTTACTAGTTGGCTTATCGAATATTGCTATCTATTTATATCTTTAGGTATTTATTCATCTACGCCATGTATTAGTCTAAACAAATTTAAATTAATTGTACAGGTACCTGAATATCATAACCCGCCTTAACCTCCAACTTGAACGCATGTTGTGTGGTTCTGAAAACTTACCGACTTCTCCGTCTGTTTCCTTTATGGCTCCAAACGATTTTCCTGGCAGAACGACCCCATTTTCCAGAGCCAGAAACACTGGTACCGGCGCGTCACAATTTTCCAACATGTTTTTATTCCCGTCGCACTTGAAAATTTTGGCGCCGCGTGTGGTACTAAACGAACCCGTACCGCTCGACACTAATAAAAAAAAAGCCTATGGTTCACACAGTAAGCCGGCTCCAATGCCAAGCGACAGCCTAGTTTATATTGATAATAAATATGAGAACATTGACTTTTAAACTCGGGCAATTTTTCTATTATTGAATATTAAATTTCGGCGAATTAGATAACGTCTCGTCTGGGAATTACGATTGGAGAGATTCGCAGAGAAAGCTGCACTACTTGTTGTTGAGCTCAACACCTTTGAATAAGAACCAGTTATTCGGTTAGAGTAATTTATGTGACAAAAACGGTCAAGGATTTCAAACGGACCATGGGTTCACGGGTAAATTTGTTTTGGGGGCTGGTCAATAACACATTTGTATACACGAAAAGCAAAGTCCCTTCTATGGATTTTTTTCCAGGTACCTACATAGGTATCTACCTAATTATATTATCTGCCTAGGGGCTGTGGTCAGTCAGCAGGTTAAAGTTAATAGGCTGGTTTCGTGGAACTATAGTTTTAGACAAGAGTCCTAGAAACTATTTGGATGATTTAACTGAGTTTTATTTAATAGCTCAATACGTCAATATTAGTCAAAGAATATATGATCACCTACTCACAATTGATTGATCATGTGTTGGCATTTGGGACATTAAATTCAACGTAAACATGGGACAAATTCTAAATATATTATATATCTCTGTTATCTTATATGTTATAAAACATGATTATCCGTTATCCGCGATGTTTGCCGAAATGTATGCCTAAAATTCTTTTATCAACGTGTTAGTTTGTTATAATAATAAAACGACCCATTATTAAGAAGGAGCTGACATCGCGGAAATGCTATAATAATAAGTTTATTTATCACAAACACAACACACTATAGACTACAATCTTAATACTTAACAATGAAATGAATGGTAAATAAACAATTTAAGCATAGAAGCAAAGTAAATTTTGCTTGTTAATGCCGAGTTTTTGCTTATAAGCTACTTTATGTTGTAATTATATTTTTAGTTTTCCTTTTCACGCTTAATTTCAAAATTATTTTAAATTTCAAAATTGGTATTTTTGATGTCACACATCAGGCATCAGGAAGTGTTATCTGCGAGGATTTGGCTCAAAACCCTTGCAAAAAATACGTCGAACGACTCAAAAATAGAAATTTTTTTTTGTGTGAACCATTGATTCAATTATTACTTTAATTAATTGAAATATTTGTTGAGTTACCTACCATACAGAGTGTCAATTTGAAAAGTTTGCACTCCGCACTATTATCCCAGAAACGGGATATTTTGAAAATCACTCAACTATAATTTAGGAGAGAATCAGTTTTGTATGCAACATTCATCTCCCCGAGCCCTTAGAGCCAGTCTCTAAAAAATCTTAAATGGGAAGTCAAGTGTACATCATTTCAAAGTCCTTTTGCCCTGAACACTAACAAGTTTGAAGTCCCTGTTGTCACTCTCGTTGATATTACAGCTTGTCAAAATTTTGACGCTCGTGTTTGTTTTTAGTTAGGTAATTAGTAAGTTAATCACATGGGTTAACGACCTGAAGAAACAGGACCGGCATGCAATATTGTACAACAATAAAATCAGAGATCAAAAGAGCAACAAGAAGAGAAAGCGGAGGAAAAAACAAAAACAACCTGGCTGGCTAGCAACAAACAATCTTACAACTACAAAAGGACCGAAGACAGAAAGAAAGACCACCAGAGGAATCCCGAAGGCAGAAACAAAGGCGAAAAAAGCCCAAATGCGAGAAGAACAAGCCCGCAAACAATAGAACTGGTTTCAAGAAAAAATTTATATTTCAGCGAAAATGGATTTAATTAGTAATTTCTGAGGAACAAACCAGACTCGAAAAAATTCCGATAATAAGTTCAAGAATGCAATGGAAGAAATAACGTGAAATAACGGCTCTTCAAAAAAAACGTAAATCAAAGATAAATATGGCTATGATTTTTCGAACATAATCCTAGAGAAATCCCAAACCAGTCAGATCGAATTTTGTTAATTGAAAACAGTCAGAAACAGTCATAAAACTAGTTTCAACCAATAAAATTCGCTCTGACTGGGTTGTGATTTCACTACGAACAGACCTAATGTCTTATAGTACAAGCGGTACGCAAAAAAAGTAACACAATTCATCAAATAATGAACCTAAAGATCAAATAGAACAAAAAGGACAATTCTCCAAAGAATACCAGATTCATGGTCAAAATAATCCACATTTGGAGATACCATACCGAACAGATACAAGTCTGGAAATGACAGATCCGACAAAAAATGAGCATAGAACAATACAAGAAGACCTAGAAGATCAACCTGAAATAAGAAAACAACTCTGAAAAAGAGAACAGATCTAAACAAACCTGTTTCTTTTGAGGACTATGTTATGACAGTTGCTGAAGAAATAAGCGAACCACAGGAGTCACTAAGCTACAAAGATGCTATTACTTGCAATCATGAAGACAATGGATAAAGAAATACAGTCACTACAAGAAAATTGTACTTGGGAGGTTTTACCACCAGGAAAGAAGGCAGTACCATATAAGTGGGTGTATAAAGTGAGAACCAATCCAGATGAGTCTATTGACAAGTACAATGCTCGGCTAGTTATCAAAGGTTAATCACAAGGAAAAGGTGAAGATTACGACCAGACTTACAGTCCTGTAGCCAAGGGAGGAACAATTAGATCACTGCTCAGTATTGCTGCTAGCAAGAATATGACACTCTTTCAGTTCTATGTATGTACTGCATTTCCCTATGGAAAACTAAATGAATAAGTCTATATGAAGCAACCAGAGGGGTACGAAGATGGATATGTTGTCCGAACTAAAGATCAGAGCTGTGTTGATTCGAGAAGAAAAAGAACGAATAGGAGAAATTGACAGGCATAATATTGAAGAAATTTTTGGAAGAAATACGAACTTGTTTACTAGAATCAAACAAAGAAACTTGAAAGTGTTACCGCTGCGGAAGAATACATTTTAAATGTGAGTGTAGAGTGCGGCTGAGGATCGCGCTCTTCTTTTGGTGACTCTCCGTTTTTAATAATGGGAACTTGAAAGCGGGGACATCGCGACGTCACTGTTAGAACACGAACGCGAATATTCAAGAAAAGCTCTAGAGATTTCTCGATTAAATGGTTTTGTATATAAAGTGCGTAGTTTGTGAGTCAATCAATCGGTTTAAATAAGAGAATTATGTTGATCAACCAACTCCCAGCGCCCCACGTTGGGCGCCAATTTATTAAAAGTCTTATAGCGACATGGGGAAAGCTAAGGGAGAAAAGAATGAAGGGAGGGATATGACTCTTGAAGGTGGCCTAAAGAAGAAATCCGACTTATAGGGCAGCTCCGACTAGCCCACAAAATTCCGGTGAGTGGGGTGGGTCTAAATAAAAGGCGCCACCTGTTTTTCAACCCTGCAGCAAGTCGGTTTCTAAACAAAAAAAATTTCAAAACAGGAAACACCAAAGAAAGGAAGGTTTAAAGGCGATCATCTTTAACTGAAATCCCCTAGGATTGGAGAATTCGTGATCGCACCGCAATCTGAAAAGAAATGAAGGTATTTTGTCATAATTATCCATACCCCAATATGTTCAGTATTAAAAATAACCTTAGATTTAAAATAAATTCAATACATACCTAATCAAAAACGTTGCTTACCCTCGAAATAGGCCTATTTTCCCGGATTACAGTACGTTTCGTATTTTAGGTTAAACCCAAAACTTATAATAAGAACATACAAGAATGAATAATAAGGTAATAACTCCTATAATTAAAAACAAAACACCAAAGTTTTTAATGGTAAAGTTAGGCCTCTATCTGGCTATACATTGTTCTGATTGGTAAAAACCCTTGGTATGCTGAACGATACTTATGATGCTAATAATTACGGGGTGAGTATTTCTTTTGACCCCAGAGCTTCACTACCAATCAGCTGGAGTTTGACCATATGATTTCAGGACCCAGGACAACACACACATGTGACCCAACTGACTTACAGGGAGTTCCGTGATTATTTACTGTGTGCAAATCTTACAGCGACCCAGGAATCTACCTGACGTGGAGTGAGGTTTGAGGGTCCTCCCCAAATCTTCTTGGTGGTTAGGGATGTTCTAGCAACTAGGGGGGGGGGGGCTGTAAGGCCGACTGGAGTGGTTCAGTAGGTACCTCTGGAGTACTGGGGGTTGATGGGCAACCGGCACTCGGGTATCGGAGGAGAAACAAGGCCTCAAATGAGGGGAAGAATGAAAGTGAAGAGAGACTAAAGGAAAAAGGCCTAAAAAAAAGGAATAACATTTTCACACATGGTAAGCAAACAGCAAATATAGTAAAGAAGTGTTCTAAAAGAACTTTAACGTTGTAGAACTTATTCAAAAGGAAAATAGCAGAAAATGAAAACTTTCCAAAATACTTTGGCCTTTTCCAGACACAGCACACAAAGAAAAACGGCCAAATTTGAGACTTTAACCCTTTAAAACTCGCACAACCAAATCTGTCTATAATAGTAGCACTGTGGTACTATAATCTCAGCAACCCACAAATGGGAGTTAGGGGCTCAAACTTACTTTTGGTTTTAAATCAGCAAAAACGCTTAGAGGAAGCTCTCAACGTGCTCTTGAAAGCTGCCCTCTTTTCTACCAAAAAAAAAACGATTTTTGATTCTTTCTCTTCCAGAAAACGTGGGCGTACCAATTCAAGCCTTGAGGAATTTTAACAGAATCTATTGGGGGACACTGGTACTGATACTGACTGAATGCCTGGTACCCACTAAATAGCGGATACTGTAATGGTACAAAGGAAGGTAGTGCGGAAATCTGTAGTCGGTACTATAAAGCAAGTGTAGGAACGGTAATAATATCTAATATGAAATATTTAAATAAATAACCACAATTATTGTTAGATGGTATGGAAAATAGAGAAAAGAAAACTGTATAGGTGAAACGAATATTTAGTAATAAACTTCTAGATGGGGGTACTTTTACTTGAGGGGGAAAAATAATCCCGTAACAGTATTAAGTTGAGTGAAAGTGATTAGTGAATTTCGTAAAGTCAATTCTTGACTTCAAAAAAAAGTTGTTGTCGTTAGTAGAGTGCGGCAAACTTGAGGTATCCTGTAGGTACAATGAGACTAATTGGAATTGGCACACACTACATAAACATCCCTCGTAATGTGTCAAAATTTTACTTCTTTGATACACAGGTAATATCAAAATCGTGTCAGATTGATAAATCAGTGGTAAACATAATAGTTGAAGGAAAAAAATATTTGTACACCGCTGCAATAAATAGATTTATTAATTAGAATTTCGACTTATAACGAGGGATGTTGAAAGGGCCATGTACCAATTGCAATGATTCCCACTTTACGGCACGTGAAGTCTTTCAGTCTTAGACTTCTCTTCAAAATTGAAAAGCTTGAGTCTAATGGTAAATATTACAATAATTATCTAAGGTTTCACTATACAAATGACAAATTACTTAGGAGTTAGATAATCCTTATTATTGGTATTTTCCAAACCCCTTTTATAGTCATGCTTGCTTTGAAATGTTTTATTGAAAAATATTTAAGTTCACAAAGAATATTAATAAAGATTTAATTTAGAACTAACAATAAGAAAAAATAAAACTTTTTATCAATAATACAATACATAAATAGGTTTTTAACGATGTTACGAAATAGATATTTTATTTAAAAATAGATTTATTAATCTTTTAGTAATAATATGATAAATAATTTAACAATAATTTAAATTCAATAAGCCTATACATACCTACAGCCAATTCATTTATATTTTCTTGTACATATTGGCAAAAGATTCATTTAAGGGATTATCTATTAAGTCTCAAATAAATACATGTTCTCTCTGCTCTCCATACCTAAATTTTGCATACAAAACTTATTCTAGATAATTTATTCTGCAAATGCTACATTTTTTCTCTTAGCATTCTGCCCATTTTGTTTATAACTCTCACTCCTTTGCGCAGGCTTCAAATTCCTCATTGCTGGTGGAACTGGTTGCACTGGTTGCATGCCATTCACGTATGAAGCTTGTAGGTTGTTTAATTTAATGGAACCAGATTTCAATTGCTGATTAATTTCGTTGTATTGGAATGATATGGAATTTCTTACGGGGGTTGGAGGTTTTTCTTCAGTTGAACTATACGTTCTGCAAGATAGGAATTGTATTAGTAGTATAACAAGTAGAAGTAGGAGATAGATTGTGTGAAAACTCTCAGGGCTTAAGAAAAAGTTCATGGCATTAGTAACTTAAGATCTACTATCCACAATATTGATTATAAATATTACGAAACACTCAGCACGATTGAGCACTGAAAATATAAGCCGCGTAGGTACATTTCTTAGCCAAAGATTAGCGCAGTGAGAAAGGACAAGGAAGCATCAGGCCACCTAAAAGAAACCAGGAAAAATTCAGTTAGTTTGTAAGTAGGTACCAAGGGGCAGAGATGGGCATCTACGCGTAAACAAAGATTGTCTACGTCTGGTGTAAACAACGCGTAGACAATGTAAACTATTTAATCTATGTAGACAACGTGTAAAATATGTAGACAACGCGTAAAGTATACAATTTTTGACAGTTGGCAGGCCTTTAAGGTTAGGTTTCTGTTTTTGCTTTGTTTTGTTTTTAGCTTTGTAAAGTTAATTAAACCGCAGATAATGTCTAATTTGATACAATATAAATTTAACGCAATGCAAACTTTCAAAAAAATTACTCAAATTTCAAATTTTCTGTTGTCTACATTGTCTACATAGTTTACATAGTCTAAATGGAAAAAAGTGGATGTAAACAATACGTAGACAACGCGTAGACAAACGGCGTAAAGTAGAGAAGTCATAGCTTAAAGAATTTTCTGCGCTAAAAGTTTAGAAGAAAGGACTGCTTGCTGATGCTTGATTATCAAAGGGCAAGTTATTGAGCAAAAGATCAATATTATGGTTGGTACTGACTGGTATAGCGGCATTCTTGGAAAGCGCAGGAATAGTTGATCAGTAAATCATCGTGCGTTCTTTAAGAAGAGCAGTTTTACGAACCGTAACCGCAACTTCATACAGCCCTCTGAGCTGATATTCCGAATGAATTAGTTCTTGAGAATGGTCATGATAATCCACCATGAAATCCTATCAGTCCATAGAAATATAGGCAACATACCAAAATGCAATTCCTGGGAGCTGTTTTGGACTTGTATGTCGCGACGATTCAGACATCTCTCTTGTAGACAAATCATTGATCAAATTGAACGGTGACATACCTGAACGTTTGACAAACATGTCAAATTTTGTCAATATCAGCTTCATCATATCAAGTTGAAGTGTTAGCTATACCTATACGAATCTGTTAAAAGAGTTGGTCAAGTGCGAAGAGACGGAAGCGTACAAGGACAATCAAAGCAGCATTTTCATCGGACTTCGAACCATCATCTTTCAAAATAGAGAGAAAAATTATTTGTGAAAAAAAGTGATACAAGAAGGAGGATGATTGTAAGTACTGACAGAACTGATATTATTCTTTACGAAGTAAATACAGAAAATGCTTAACAGATCCGGCAATAACGTAGAGCATATGGAAGAAGTGCAGCCAATAGTTAAAATGTTGAAAGATTGGGGTATTGGAACCTCGTGCAACTTCTGGTCATCTCCTGTGGTGTTAGCCTAGAAAGATGGTATCACCAGATTTAGGGTAGATTATACGAAACTGAAAAACATTACCAAGAAGTATGGCTATTCATTGCGAGGGTGTAAAAACCAAAATGTAGCTATTCTCACGGATAGCCAAGCAGGACTAAAAGCGCTGAATTCCTATCGCATCACTTCCCGAATGACGATGGAATGCCTTACTGACTTGAAGAAGCAGAAAGAAGGTTCGACTGCTATGGGTTCCTGACCATTCAGGGAGAGAGGGCAACAAAAAAGTAGATGAACTAGAGCTGCAACGCCGACAAAAAAATAACGTTTCACAAATTTTTATTTGCATCTCCAAAAATTAGCTCATGTCTCATGTTTTATTTTTGTGACAAAATACGTAATATCAAGCCCTGAAGATGTGTATAATAAACGTTCTTCATGTTGACTAAATCTTACCTTACGGACTTCATTTTAACTCTAGCCTCTTCCGCAGCAATAATTTGTCGATATTCGCCCATTTCTTCTACAAAAGCGGCAGCAGTATCTTCTAAAATCTTAGCTAAGTAAGACGCCTGTTTAAGATAAAAGAGAGCTTGTTCGGCTGTAGAAAGGATCGAACTTTTTCTGGCAATTTCAATGAAATGTTTAATGAATATCACAATAATGGCCTTTGTTTTCCATATGTCCAGCTCTTTGTCGATTGACTCCTTGAAATTTATATATTTGAATAAATAGTTTGAATAAAAATATTGGTGTTTACCTCTAAATCGATGTCATTATCATCGTTAATCTCAAATACGTTAATTTCTTTGGATTTCTCCTCTTCCTCTTTTTGCTTTATGCGATCTCTTATTATTTGCTCTTTTTTCTTTAAATATTTTATATGTTTCATTTGTTGCTCTGGATCTCTATACAACCTTTTTTTCAATTGTGGTAAAGATTGCATTCCCAAATTAGGATTTACTAAAACTATAAATAAATGTAAGTGTAAAGATTTTGAGGTACATTAAACAAAATCCTCACCTGCACCGCTTTTGCTCCTGATACCATCATAAAGTTCTTTAAAATCTAAAGGCGGATAGAACTTTCCACTAGTGTATCGTACATTTTTCAACGCCTTGATGAAAAAGGGAACAGGGTTGCTTAAGATTTGAAGCAATATTTTTTGAGCATAATTGAGATACTTTTTTGGGATATTTTCGAACAGGTCTCTATCTTTGATGAAAAAGTCCGGTAGGGAACCTGTAAACAAAAGAAAACTTATATTATTTGAATAAACTAAATAATAGTTACTTCACCTTCAAAAAGTCTCATTTGCAAATCCTTAATCACCCTCAAAATTTTTGTTCCTAGTCTATGCTCTGGCCAATTTCTATAGTCAGTTTCGCATTCCCAATACATGTGTGACCTAATGTGTTCTGGCAAAAGCCCATTTTGCTTAGTGACCGGCGTTATATACGTTCTGAGCAAGGTAAAAAGTATTAGCATGCATTTCATTTGGGCATGCGACATGCGCGCCTCAAGGTATCGTTCGGCTTTTGGAAAGTTTATTTCCCATTCTAAATCTGGAAATTAAACAAAAATTACATAATGAGCAAAATCGTAAATAAATCGACTCACTTGAATTTTTATTGAATCCCTTCTTTTTTGCGTACCCTTTGGGTACCAGCACTGCCGTCATGTTACGAATATCTTCGATCATGCTCGCTGGACCTGTCGTGGGCCATTGGTATTTGGTACCGGTTCGGGTATCGAAAATTGTTGGTCTGTCTTCTCTGTAGACGAATTCGATTGTTTGGTCGTCAGGCCAAGGGATACTTACAGCAGGAATTATCTAGGAAAAGTCACAGTTTCGTTATCAACCCACTTATTTTTTTTTTTAATATTCTTACCTCAAAAGATTTATAAACATTGGTTTCAATGTCCAAATCATCACAGAAAATTTTTCCAGGTATAGCTTTGGCAGTACAAATAGCATCTTCATTAAACCCAAGCGATTTTCCCAGAGACGTTGAGAATAAAACATTTTGAAAATAATTCATAAACCCATATGAATTTATGTAAACAATAACTCTGAAGAAATCTTCTTCGTTCAAATTTGCTAGATAATCTAAATTCATTTCGTCGTCATCGTCTTCGTCTCCCAAAGATTTCATGGGAAATTGTTTGATTTTTTTATGAGTGAAACAAGATTCTGGTAAAGTGTCTCTTCTTTCAGTGTTTGTGTCTACTTCAATGGGTTTGGGGGTTCTTAGGTCAGTGATGGTTGAGTAGTCGTAGTCTGAATCAGACCTTGTTGATGGTCCTGGTGTTGGCTCGTAATTTTCATCGTATTCTCGAGCTTGGAGGATAGCGGAGTTGTTCTCCACTTGGGTCATTTTCACATATCCTATAAGCAAATTTATTGAATAAATTGGAACGCAATTTTATTTAGGAAATACCTTTTTTAGAAGATGGTTCAATTTTAACTTGATAGCAAGGCTTATCTATGGACAAATACTGAGGTATTTCATTGGAGCTAACTACTTCGATCAGATCATTTATTACATATATTCGCTTGGATAGAAGACTTTCAGATTTGCTATACTCGTCCATGGTTCTGAAGATGATATTTTTATTTACTTCTTCCAAAATTGCGTCTGGGTATGTGCATTCCATCGTTTCATCCTTCAATAACGTTTTGCTCATTTCTTTTTCTTCTGGTGTCGATGGGACATGTTGGAGTCTGTTGATTACTCTGCAAAATATATATAAAAATTGTTGAAAATATAACAAGAAAGACACATGCTAACAGAACTATCAGTGTTAAGGTTCTTCTTATCGATTAGTTTCATGGAACACAAAGATATTTTATAATATGTTTCAGGAAGAATATAGGCTTTTTCTGATAAAATTATATTTTAGTATACCCCCAATAAATTATTTAATTTAAATTCAATAATAATTAGAGCTGGCAGATCATGTCTGGATAATTTACATTTATGAAATGCTAATAACGGTTTGTGTCGTCTCTACTGAATTCGTAGGCTGCACTATCAGACTAATTTTTTCATCAAAAGCCCTGTCATTAATCCAAGATTTTGATGAGACAAGCAGATCGTACATTGGATTGAGATAGGACTGAAACGACACTCGTCTTTGTAGATAACAGAATATTAATTGCCCACGATAAGAATGACCTGGAATTTCTGACAAGAAAGCTTTTATGAAGAGTACGAATCTGAGAAGAAAATTGTTGATAGAATAAGTGAAGGGAAACCTATCATGAATAATTCAACTAAGGCAAAGTTTATAAGACCTCTGGTGAAAGTGGAAGGGAAACACTTGATCTTACGCAATCCTCAAGAGCTTCACTCTTTATTCTTTATAGCTGACGAATAAGTAAAAACTAGAAATAGACAGCGACGAGAATAGATACAGTTGAAAACTAGAGAATTCGAGAAATATTAAAGGCTATAAGAACAATAATAGAAGATATCAAACAAAAATAATACAGCGAATTTCGAGGTTAGTTTTGTTTTCTGCGGATAGGTAATCTGAAATCCTAAACTAGTTCCGGAAATTAAAAATTATATGGGAAATCAACTAGGCTTTGATTGATACCCGCCCATATCATCTTGTTAATATTTATATATCTATTATAATTGAATTCTACATGAGTTACTTCAACTGTGAAGAACTTCGGAATGGCAATAGCATAGGATTTGCGATTAACAGGGGATTGCCACCAGTATTTTTATATAATAATAAATTGATAAAACAACAGAAATTAAATATTTCCATGAAACGCATCATCAAAATGTAGTCAATGTGATTTTCGCGATTGAGTTTCGTTTAATCTTTGCAAGGATTATCTAAGACAAAACAAATACTTGAATGCCAGATAATGAATTATAAACTTGACTCGAAGAATTTTATATTGATTGATTAAAATGAATAGGTAGCCGTGAAAAGGGAACTTTTGATAAGGCTTCCTCACTGGACCAATATGCACCTTCTTCCAGTTGATTTGAAGACCTTAATGTGTTTCTTCTGATTAAAATTTTTGGATCAATTTTCATCCAAATGAAAGGAAGGTATACCAGCAATCCTATAAAAAATAAAATACTATTACTATTATGCCACCGATCATCAATAATTACATTTTTCTGTTTATCTCGTTCGTAGCTCCATTATTAATTTATTTTTCTCTTGTCTATCTGTCTCAGTATACATGAGTTTTTATATTTCACGGTTTTTACTATGCATGATGTACCAAAATAATTAAATAACTTCTGGTTTCGTTTATTCCAGATTATCTCCTATTTGGAGGAATTGGAGTGTAGGTATTACTCAAACGCATCACAAACGAACAAGGGCGGATTGTTCTGATTTGTTAAAGCAGCTATCGATATCTCTATGTTTTAGATAATTTTAATAACAAAAAATCTGTGATAATAAAACAATGATTAATAGAGGATTAAACAGTCAATCAAACTAATCGCTAAGCGGTGTGATCCCCCAATACCCACACCAACTGAGAAATCCCTTTGTGATGTGATTAATTCAAAAATTAATGAACCCCAAAATATTCCGAAGTGATTTAAAAAGTGTCGGTCGGGTAGAACCAATTTTATACACTAGGCCCACTGAATTTACTTGTAGTCTCACTCTCACTATATATTTTAGTGTGTAGTATCCAATATCAATAATAAGTGAGAGTTGTCAAAAAAATTCGAAGATTTTTTCATCAACTTACTCTTTGTGATCAGGAAAAAAATGCACTCCCATAATAATGTTATTCAACAAAAACGCTTGCACATTTTCTTCCAACTCCATTTTGATAACATTCGTTGCCATAAAGTCATCGCGTACAACAGATTGCACTCGAATATCACCATCGTTCAAACCCCCGTAACTCCTTGGAGCCATGTTGGGCGACATAAATTCTCTTTGAGAAATATTCTTTTGACTTGATCGTTTGGAACAATCGCTACCCATCATCTACGCATCACTGTTTTTTTGCACTACAATGAGCTGATAAAGTCATATTTCAAAATTTTTTGGTGATGTATTGGAGGGTTTCGGTCAACAGTATTTGCACAACTGGGGCCGGGATAAAAATTTTTAGGTTGATAAGCCCCAACAGAAGCTTATCTAAGCCAACTTAATCCGTCATTCGTCTATTTGATTAGTTTGGATTTTAAAATGGATAACATTGATAATAAATATGAGTCACTGGACTATCAATCTTCCATTGCATAAAATTTTATTGTCTATGGGCCATCGTTTTTGTTTTTTTTTTCAAAAGGCACAATTCCTAGCCTGGAGCTTTTATTGGGAAAATGAAATGAAATTTCAACTTCTGTTCAATTTCAAAAACTCGGAATCCCAAAAGCGCTGACCAATATCATCTATCGCTGAGACTAAAATTATGTCTCGAAATATTAAAGCAAACTCAGAAAACATAAAATTTTAAAGTTTCTGAGATTATGTTATCCCGTTGGTTAGAAAGAACCATTTCGCTTCTTTATTTGTACCTTCACCAACACACGTTAACTCTAGTTATATTTTTGAAACTAAATTGAAAGTGAAACAATAATGATAAGGCGTAAGCCTTGGGTAACATATCATATAATATTGGTCGGAGATATTCCTATAAAAGAATCGTAGGCGACGCTTTATCATAGAAAAGAAAAATACACGGGTCCAATTAACGTTGCGTACGGCGACCGTAAACGTCGGACGTCGAATTAACGTCGGATAAAAGTCGTGTATTCGCTTTGACAGAAAAGTCCAGAGACGTCCTAAATATCAACAAGATATAATATCGAAAGTTATTCAAAGTCATGTCGAGAGTCGGAAAAAATGCTACCTGTGTCAGTTGCTTATCGTTTCGGCATTATGATTTAAATTTCCATTAAAAACTCAGTACCAATCAATTTCATTAGCAAAATGTCATATTATTTGACAGATGAAATTGGCATTAAACTAAGGGTGATGACCTTTAGCAACGATTAAAATGTCAGTAGAGAAGTTTTTCCAACTAAAAATAACATCACTACTCACTCTTTATGATTCTCAAAAAACTGGACACTCAATAACATATTGTTCAAAATAAAAATTTGTGAGCTCATCAAGAACTGGCTTTTAATTCCTTCCATGATAATAAGGTCGTCTCTTCTAATAGATCCAACAGTATAGCCACCATTGCTGATATTATCGAAATCACTCATATAATTCATATCACTAAGACTTTGCTGCATTACAGTATTTCTTAAATTATTACTTATAGCACTTTCGCGATCCGAACGTATCGATGGTCTAGAACCACAGGTACCCATTACCATCACGAAAGATCTACTATTGAATACATTTAAACAATATAATGATAAATTAACTCTCACACTTATCTAACTTATTTCTTATTTTTGCTTCTAATCCCCTACACTTTGATATTGCTGTAATCTGATTAATGTTATGAATAAAATAAGGACGGATTAAAAATTGTCTGCATTAAATTTTTTAGTTATTAAAAATATAGAAACAATCTGTATTACGGGCTTTATGAGTGATATGATTAGAGTACTTAATTGGTTTAAATGCTAATGAAAATAATGGTTCACAATCTTAAATAGACATTGGTTTTTGCAAAATTGATTACCTTAATATAGTTTTATAATAATTTTGGATCTAAAACCAGACTGAATGGATTAAGGTCAAGTATTAGCCTGGTTGATTGTTCAACTTGGTAATTATGCATTATGTCCCAGGTTAGCTATAGAATTATTTCGGCCATTTTTGATCCTCGTCTTGAATTTTGTCTTCTGAATCGGTTTCGTATGTTTATTAAGTTTTATAGTTTTACCATTGGACAAGAATCAAACAAATTTTCCAAAACCCATCCAGACTCTGAAGACATCTTGACTATGTCTCCAATGACAATACGGTGCTGTGTCTCTATGTGAGGGGACAAAAATTGCTTACATATCCAACTCAAATAACGTCTTCTTGATTCTATATTTCAATTGCCACCACTATGGTGGCTAACAACATAGAAAATTGTATCAGATGAGTCCATTAGTTCTTCGACACATAGAATTTCAATTATCGGAATGTAACATCAACACTATAGATTATGGCAATCTTGAGATATGATTTGGATATGCTCGGCTGCCTAAATGGACATCTATAAAACATTTTGACTTTTGACTGCATCAAGCTCCGAGCTACCAGAGGAATTTGATTGGTTCCGAAGTAGGATCAGAGCGAATTTTCAGCAAGACCCCTGTGATGTGCATACGGGATGCGTGTAATCTGATGTGAAATACATGATCGCTTATCTTCACAAGTGTGAGAAAAAGAGCCTTATCTTATTCCAGATCCAAACTGAATTACGCATCAATCGAACTCGAACATCTCAATTTTTGGTCACTTTTTGTAAGACTTTAACTCATAATCTAGCAGGCCGATTTTGTTAAAATTTTCAGGAGTGAGAGGCTGCTCTAATTGCTATTTAATTTCCAGTCGCCAACAGATTCCCATCCACCTGCTAAAAGATACAGGGTGAAACATAGGTTGACGATTTTTTTACGAAAGTTTGGGTTGACCCCCAGGGCCCCCGCTACCATAGGCGCAAAGGCGTGCGGCGCACGCGGGCGGCATAGCCAAGGGGCGGCAAATCGCACCTGAAAAAAATTAAAAAAAAGAAAAATAATTTATAATTTATTTAATATTGAATAATTAATATTTTTCCCAAAGTGTTTCAATTATTTTCTTTTTTATTCAAACAGGCACCTGATTCTCGGAACGCCCAGCGCTCGTGTGGGAAGAAGTGCCTTGTCCTTCTCAGTTCCATGTAAAATCTCATGAGTGACAAAGACTGAAAATTAATAGAACCCTGCCCTCAAGCGTATCGAGCAAGAATCAGACTGCAGATCGCCTCTTAGCTCCGTACAGCTAATGAGCAAATTTTCCTGTTGGTTTCTGCAAAATTAGGCTATGGTCCGAATATAACCAAACGTTAACCAAAGGAACCGAATCGGTTGGCAGATGGTTACTGAAAATTCCGGTTACTTCGGAAACGCGAAAATGGAATAAAAAATAATTGACAGAATTTACAAATAAAACCAACAGAACCGACATCTGATAGCCGGTAACTATTTTGACGTTTGGTTAACCAGATTTCAGGAAACCAAGGTCCGAAAGTAACCACTTTTCCAGGAACCAGAATAATTTGATTACTTTCGGACCGCAAAACCACAACCCTGGTTATATTCGGACCACAGCTTAACTCTGGACTATTATTATTTATGTAGGTAATAAAAAACATGACAACCCACGCAATTGACTCAAAGCCACTCCAAAAATGTTTGCGCTTTTTTAATCGCCAACCCTAACTAAAGGTTCCCACACAGTACGTTCTTTCTCGTCGGTTTTCACCGCCGCGGTGAAACAACGATCTAGGCCCTAGGCGACCAATTACAGTATATTTGCATCTGGAAATTTGCAGTTCTGCAAATATGGCTGACTTGCATATATTATGCTCTATTTGCAGGAACGAGCAAATTACAGAAAAAATCTGCAATTCCGTCATATTTATCAAAAAAAAAGTGTTTGGGCGCTACTGTACTATAAGTTTTCGACTTGCAAATGCATTCTGCTTCTGTTCTGTAATACGAAAAGTCAGACTTGTAGGTTCTGCATATTTTGTGTCTTGATGTTGCAGAGCTTCTGTAATCCCAGGCTAACACCGAAGTGTGTGGTAGAAAACCGTGGTGCCTTGTCGGTTTAAAATTCAGTCCGAGCTTAATTTTTGGCACGACGGTTTAATATTTCGTTTCAAAACGATTGTATGTGGGTCCAACTGTCAAAAAATCGCGTAGCATGGTATGTGGTGGAAACAGGCTGACGATGAAACATGACGTTGTTCATCGCGACTATGAAAACCGACGAGACAGAACGTAGTATGTGGGGCCCTTAAGGGGCGCCAAAATATGAAATCGCACGCGGGCGGCTTCAGGTCTAGCGAGGGCCCTGTTGACCCCATTCCCCATTCTGCTGCAGGGAGGGTTAAGTAGAGTTTTGGTATTCAGTTTAGAAGAGTACCTTAGTACCTCGGGCTGTTTTTGAGATTTTTTGAATATCGCAGCCCACTACGATTTTATCATGAGCTATGCGATTTTATGTGAATTATAGCTTTTGACGTCATCATTTCTTTTCGAAACCAACACTACAATTATGGCGCATGTGGAAACACTTAGAATATATTATACAGGGTCATACAAAAATATACAGTGTGTCTTGTTTTCTAACCAGAAAGGTCTCGTGGTTAATATAAAAGATACGAGGTCGGTTGAATTAGGGCATAGTCACGCAATTTGATTGCCAATGAAATGGCGTTTTAACACTGGCACCGCTGTTTATAGACAAACCAAGAATGACTTCTGCCTTGGGATGACCACAGAATCCTTTTAACAGAACTCTTAATTCTTTACAAATAAGGACAGCGGTAGGAATTGAAGCCTCAAAATCGATAATACAAAGACGTCTCCATGAGAGAAATGTATGAGCCAGAAGGCGAGCAGCATGCCCATTATTGAGAGCAGTCCATCGAACAGTACCAATAACTGGGCTAATATCCATAGACACTAAGGAGTAGCTGAATGGCAGAGATGTTTGTTTGTCGATAAATGCAGATTCACGTTGTATCAGAATGACTGGCATGTATTGTAATGGAGAGACACGGGTGAGAGATATGGAGAAGAATTTATGGAAGAGGCTTTTAGTGGTGATGGTGGTCGCCTGACATGAATCCGATTGAGCATGTTTGGAGTAGAATGAAATTAAGACTGGCCGAACAGTTAAATGGTTTTGAAGATTTAAATGAATTGGTAAATGCAGTAAGGCAAGAGTGGAAAGCTATTCCTCAGAATCTGATAACGGATTTAATAGACAGTATGCCGAAAAGAATGGCGGACATGTGACACATATTAAATGAAATTTAACAAAAACGAGCATACGTTTAACATGGACTTCACAGAAAGATTAGTAGGTACCTACTTGGTAGGCCCACCCAGAATTTTTCAAAAAGTCAAAAAAAATAAAAAATTTCACGCAGTGCTGAAATTTGATTCGATGGCTTTATTTATTATTCTTATGAATGTTTTTGCAATTTTAATTGCTTCACATGACTGCTGCAAGAATTAAAATTGCAGTATATAACTTAATATGTTATTAGGCACATGAAAATGGACCGATCCCCCCCAAAAAATGTTAACTCCTAATTATGTTGAGGTGAACTTCCTTCATTGCTTGGCCTATTCTTATAGTCTTACAAAAAGTGACCGAAAATTAGGCTGTTCGAGTTCGATTGAGGCGAGGTTTAGTATAGTAGGTGGCGTTCATTGATTGAAGGTCGATTACACACATTTTGTAAGACTTTTTCGAACCTCTCCAGGTTTTCTTTCTCTATTCTATTGGTTATCTAAACTTGGCAAACAAAAACCGAATACAAAATAGGTTCAAAGAGCAAGACATATTATTTAATAACAAATTAATTTATTGAATATCAAAAATACATACATAGGTATTTATAAAATAACTATCAATCAATCCTACTGTCACTAGTTATAAAAATAAAAAGATAATACCTATTTTTTTAAATAAACATGGAAAATATTTACTTACTAGCAATTCTATACAAGCTGATTGGAACAAAAATGTCAAGTTTTTACACAATTTGTACAATTCCTGCATGGTCGTCAACAAAATTGTCTATTTCGATCATTGGTCCTTTGTCAAATGTAGGTACACGAATTGTTTATTATACACACTAACTAATATTTGGCACTTTCAGCGGTTTTCCTGGTTCAAATTAAGTATAAAAATTATGTCACAATCAAAGAGTCACAATTAAATATTTTTACTATCGCTATTGGCAAAAAATTCCTGTCGCACATGCACGTTCACGTATTATTTGAATTGTGGATTGTTTCTCGTATCCAGTCAACATTCGATGAGATTTTGTCGTACATTCTGGGTCTTTCCATTCCATTTTTAGCACACGCTATTCTCCAATTGGTTATTCCGACCAAAGTCCATGTTTCGTTCGAGGTTTTACAGACCATAGAGCTACCAGCAAACTCTTCTTCCTAAAATTGACACAAATAGAAATATTCTCATGACTCTTTTGAATAAAAATAAGCAACTTACACTGCAATCATTTTGTCCATGGATGCTCTCAGTACAAATGGTATTCACACCGGATATGCTGACATTTTCACATTTTTCATTCTCAGCTATTTTAACTTGCACTCTTTGCAGTTGTTCTCTGTTTCTCGCCCACCCCAACGTATTACATTGTGCTGTAGGAGACAAGGATAACGTTTCTGATGGAAGACATATGGGGCGAACAAAATCGTTAAACAAAACTGCTTGGTCTAATCGTATTAGTGCCACTGTGCTACCTTCGACAGGAGACTTGACCTAGAAAATATCAAAAATATAATACTTACAATTTTTATGGATATGGGTATATTTTTACCATTCCGATAATCCGTCTCTCCTGCTCCCATGGCGAAGAGCTAGCCAATCGAACCAAACCAAACTTAGCAATCCATTCTGCCTTTGGTTGTCCTTGAAAACAACTAGTGGTTGTAGCTAACCAGTTGGCAGATAGAAGAACACCATCGCAAATGTGTACGTCTTCTTTAAATAATGCTACGTGCCAGGGCCAGTCCCCGTGAATGGCCATCTTCTGAAGCACCCTGGTGGTTTTTGTATGGGTAGTTTGGACACCACATTCTATTGAAAATGTTATTCGTTTATTATGGACAATGGATTATTAAATTCTGATATTTTTTTTTACGATATGATTGGTGATTACTGACCTAAATTCTCACAAGTTACTTTCAAGACTTGTCTTGATGGACATTTGCTTTTTAGAAAACTTATGTCGTCAGCAAATGCATCCTTAATCTTGACGTAAGGAACATTTTCTTCATTATTCTTAACAACATGGTATGAATTCACATTCCTATGAAAGAAAATATAATATATTAACCGATACCGTTTGTTCGATAGCACCACGTTTGATCTGCGTTGCCATGGCAAAATAAATGATGTGTGTATTTTTTTTTTCAAGTACTGTTAAAAGCTGTAAGTAAGAACTAACTGCTTGTGATTTCAGTGATTTTCATATGGCAAATATGATACATTGAATTTCAACAAGGAAGAGAATCCACTGAAAAGTTGATCTGCAGCAGAGTTGCACGTGTTACAGCATCAGATGGAACTGCAAGCTGGACTGCTGGACTGCTGGAAACTGCCTAATGCGCAAATGAAGCGCATCAAAGATCTTTCCCAAATGCTGAGCATGAGCCAGGGAACTGTTGATTTCATCAGAGTCTTGACAATCATGAAATTGGTCAGTGGATTCCATGACTGCTCACTGATTGGGATCGTTCGGCCTTATCATTACAGGACTTGAAGTTATCAATGACAACAAACTGTTAGTTGCCAGTGATATCACTACAAATCAGAATCCAAACTTCAGCATATGAGCATAGGAAATTTTTCCAGAGGTGTGATATTATTGAATTACGAGGCCCCGAAAGCTCATTCATAAATGGAGTCATTCTGGCTTAGACGGTTGAGGATTTAATTGGTGGTATCTTAATTGGAAAGTCTGATAACATTCATTCTATAGTCCCGTGCTTTGAGCAAGAATAAAAATCATTTTAAGGGTGGCGGCTCAATTCGCTTGAGCTTGCTGTTAGGAAATAATTTCACCAGCAAAGAAAATAACCTACAACATGCATCTAAATGTAGACTTCCTTTGAATTCGTTGAGTAAAGAAGACCGAGAAGCTGGAGATGAGAGACATATGCTTAGAGGAGAATGCCTGTATTGACAAAGATTGTTGGAGATTGGGAATTGCAAGACATAGAACATTATAGAAATAAGTATGCAGCCTTCAAACGTGTTTCTATTGCACAATCATTATAGATATTGATTTTCTAATAATTTGCTACTTACTCATAAGTCAGTGATTTGCATAACGATACAGCAACAGTTCTCAAAACCTCCTCGGTTTTGTTTTCCGATAAAGTTTTGTTTAAATTTTCTACGCATAACTTTCCAACTTCCCCTTTTTCATTAAATATAACAAACCCTTCGTGACTGTACGTATTTTCATGCGGTGATATCTTTTGTATATTTTGTGATGATTTTATACTTCTGAGCAATGTTACTGGAAATAATATATTTAGTATTTCTTCATGGAGTTGGATGAAAGCGGGCACTTACAGCATCCTCTTTCGTCACTTCCATCTGGACAATCCTCTTTACCATCACATTGCTGACTTGTCTGGATACAGGTCCTTCCGATTCCGCAATGGATTTGATTAGCAGCGCAATAAGTGCAACTTCTTTCATCGGACAGATCTGGACAATCTATTACACCATCGCATATTCTTGGAGAGAAAGCTTTGGCTTTAAGTTCTTCGACACAGCCTGCAAATTAGAGATTATGTATTACCACAAAGTGTTGCAGGCAAATTGATATTTTATTATTTGTTCACCCTTTACTTATTATCTTCTAATAACCTTGAAAATGGATTATTGAAAATCCATTTAAAATTACTTTATTGGGCATTTACCGGCAAACGGTAATTATAAGTTTTACTATTTTTAACTACTGCTTTTATTGGACCAATATTTTTTGAAATCGGATTCAACTGCATAGCAAACAATCAAAATGCACTAAACATCATCAGTATGGAATAATTTGGCATATTGATAAGTCAATCACTTTTTAATCCAATCAGGAACAATAGGATTAAAACGCGGATGTGAATTGGATATTATTTATTTGGCAACACTATTATGTTAGGAAATAAATAAATAATATTAAGATATATTTTTCAAAGGTTAAGCACTTTCATCCGAGTTAATGAGTGAGTGGAAAGCACAATAGCTATACTCAGTAGGGAATAAATAAATTGAATATTCAGTTAAAGGGTATTGAGATATGTTAGCTTGACAGATGGGTGCTGTTATGCTTTTTGTATGAGTTAAATTGAAGATACATTTTTCGAAAATATTGACAGGATGGTACCCCTTACAACTCATTGACATGCTAAACTGTCAAGTGCCATTATCCCAAAATTTCAAATAATGAAGTACAGCCTTTAAATACTTAAAGTAGGGAATTTTGGAGCCAACAGCGGAAAGTCACTGGAGACAGATCCGTAAAAGTGAGCTTACATATTGCGATTCTCATTGCATTTTTTTTTCAGCTGAAATAAGCAGGCTTCAGTTATCAAAGTCCACAATTCAATCTCAGACATGTCATTTTGATTGTAAAGTGTGATTAATTACCCAGTTCTTAGACAAAAATATATTTTTCGATTTCGGGATTATTGTTTTCATCGTTGGAAACTGCCAGTCATGAAGCCACTATTATGGAATAGAAAATAATTAACGCAATAAAATGGTGGTTGACGTATTACCTACATCAATTAACGACTAAAATTATTCTTAAGTCAACGAACTTTTAATAGCATTATATATTTTTGCTATCAGATTATGATGCCAAGACCTCGTTAATATTTTGAATTTCGCAATTTTTAACACACAAATCCATTTCCATAAGCAATTAGCATTATGCTGGTGCAAAGATCGAATAATTATTATTTCAAAATCATTGGTTTTATTTCCGAAAAAAAAGCTACTTGCACTAAAAAAAAATTCCTTACCGGTTGCATACATTTCGAAAAAACAAGATAAGCTAAAGTTTATTAACAATAATGTATTTTCTTACCTGGTTTCGAGTAACACGTCTCTCCACTACTAAACTCTGGAAATTTATTGCAGTCAATAAGTCCTTTGAATTTTTCAGTTAACCTGCTGCCGCACCCAGCCATAAATTCCCTACAGAAACTTCTACAAGGCAAAATTACTTCGTCCTCATAATCGCCCTTTTTGCAACCTGGTTGTAAAAGCTGACATATGAAATCGTAGGCATGCCTGTAGCATTCACCATCAACAAGTTCTCTTTATGAAAAAAGAAAATAATTCAAAAAAATTATAAAAGAAAAATCTCATTTATTACCTAAAAGATATAACATTTTCTCTAACTTCCTTTATGCTCCTGTGTCCTAGATAATTAGGATAAGTCGTTACGTTGTAGTTCAAATTGTTGCAATATCTCAAATTGAGCGGGGCACATTTTCTAGGCACGTAAGGAGAGTGAGTAACGACCGCGTCTGACATTGCTGTTGTTGGCAATGTGGTTGTCATCGTTTGGGGTAAGTCGTCACTTGGTTTCACTTCTAAACTGTTAACGTCTATGGTCAGATTTTTAAAGAACAAAGATTCTTCTACGGAAATTTCGTTGGATAAAATTGCTTCTAGGTCTTCTGCTTTAATTTCAACATAAGTGGGATCGATTTTTATGTCAAAGTAAACTATTAAGTCTTTATTTTCCGTCCTAGAAAAACACTCGACTCAAAAAAAATTGTCATAAAGCGATTTTTGTTGAAGCTTACCCATCCAATGCTAAAACTTCCGTCCCTCTGTACCCATGCTTCACCGGGCTTCTACGAAACAATAAATTCAGTCTTTCTTTGTAGTCTTTTGAAATTTTCTTAAATTTATTTGTACTTGGGTCTGCTAGTTCTGTAGAAAACACGTCGCCGTCGATTACTTTGAAGGTGGCCCTGTAGATTTGGTCTCCTGGGTATTCTGGTAGAAAATATGTATCTGGAAAAAAAATCATTACCATAAATTTAATAGCTTTGGGATAACTATCAGGGGAGGAGTTTTGAGTCGAGTCCGAAGTATGGAAACTTATGAAGTTATTGCGAATAAGAAAGACCAGAACAGGACGAGATTCACCAAGAGAAAATGGTGTTCCTCATTTTGGCTTAGATGCTTTCAGCTTCTCTCAATGCTGTTGACTATGGAAAATAAATTCACGTGAATCTCGTGAAGCTGTAGATTTTATGCCTGATCGCCAGGAAAGACGTGGTTCGGAATTTCCCTAGGAATAGACTACGTCTGAAAATAGACAAAATGAAGATGAAACTCGACAAGCACCTTTTGGAAGAAACCTATCCCGAAATTACAACGTTAAAGACCGTTAAAAAGACCATAAAGGAATGAATGAATTAGGGGTATGGTTACACTGCGACTTGCATAGATCTATTGTGCCGCCCTTCTGGGTGCTTCAGTTTATAGGATTCTCACTCAAAGCACCTCATCCAGCTTTAAAGCTTTTATGAACGCAAGTAACCTGGATGGTTCTATGGAGCTCTATATGAGCTTTGTAGTTTTTGTCAACATTGAACTTAGCACATCTACTTATAACGTTTATTTCCGCCTGAAATATGTCTAAATGTTGTGCTGAGTGTTTTTTCATTGCTTCGCAAAACTTGATTCCGGGCCTAAGTTCTCCTGCTCCGATCCCTTGTTCAGTTCTTGACCCATCATTATACCATTTTACGGCTTTCTGTTGCATTGTAAGTATGAATGTGGTGTTTCCTTTCCATTCTTATCTGCTTCTTATGACTACAGTGAAGCGTTTCTCGAAATTATATGTTCTAATCATATCATCCTTGGGGAGCTCGAAGGGTGAAATAAACTTGCTTAGAGATGCTTATTCTTTCCTTCTAAGCCAACCTCCCTCGCCAGCACCCTCTCTCATGGTTCTAGTCATTGCTCGTCTAGCAACCACCTCCACTACGATGTAAAGAGGTGCGAGAGCTACAATTGTCTCGATGACTGCCGTAGGACAAGTTTTTATTGCGCATCTGCACCCCAGGCGCTGTAGTTTGTTGAGAGTTACTTTTATCTTCTGCTTCTCAACTCCTTTGAACCAGACTATCGATCCATACAGTAGGGTTGGTCCTACTATCATGATGTACACCCATCTCAGGATCCCGGGTTTGCATTTTCAGGTTATGCCTGCAAGGTTTTGACACACCATGAGAGCTCTTGTAGCCTTGGTTACAACTTCCTCAATGTGTTTGCTCCATCTGAGTTTGCAGTCCAGCGTTATGTCGAGATATTTGACTTCCGTCACCGGTATAATATTAGTCCCGTGTCTTCGGAGTTTTCTCCTCCTGGTAAAATGCACTTACGATGATTTTTGATGGGTTTATCTCCAGTCTCACTGTTCGGCACCATTCCCCCGTTGCTTTGAGTCCAGTTTATGGAAGTTCACACAGGTTGTCCTCGAACTTTCCACTTGCTTGCTGACAACGTCATCGGCATACCCAACGCAATACAAGCCCAAGTTATTCAGTATTGCTAGTAGTTCATCCACCACTAAGTTCCTCATCAGGGGTGACCATACTCCGCCTTGGGGAGAGCCTCAAGTAGTGCTCACCTCAATAAACTCATTGCCTATTGAACTATCTGTTCTCCTCGTGGCAGGTATCTTACACATCCATCCAGATATGTGTCGTTGACTCCATTTCTCGTTAGTGCTCTCCGAATGGCAACGTGAGATGTGTTGACAACAGCACCAGCGATAGGAAGGCGCATATTGCGACTTTTTTCTCATCTAGAGTTTCTTCCCTAATAACACAAAGACATCCCAGGAATGTTCAAAGAATATTTAGTTGGGACAATCAGAATATTCCTGGAAGATTCTGTTTAGATCCTGAAACATTCCTGGAACATTCCAGGAGACGCTTTTGTCATCAAAATGGATGTTCTAGGAATGTTCTATTGAATCATTCCTGGAATATCTTCAATCATCCCACATAGTATATTCGGGATTTTTGTGGGATATAGGAGGAACATGCACAGAACATCCCACAAATAAACTAGTGGGACACACTTTTGTTTAGGTTTATTAATTATAGATATTATTCAAATTATAAATTGTAAATTGACATCCAACACTTGCATCAACAGTTTCCTAGAAAGTTCCATTTTCTGAAGAGTAATAATGCGTGCTGATACTTTGTTCAGGTAGAACGGTAGAAGGTATCTGATTAAAATCTTCATAGAATCTTAAGTAGCCAAGTAAAATGTCCTCTCAGTCATAGAAACGAGCGTAGAACTAGAGAAAGGATGCTGCCTCGGGTTCTGATGCTCATCTTGTAGATCAGGTTCTGAATGACTTGATTGTTTGTTCCTTTGACAATAATTAGTTGCTCAACAATACTTTTTTCCTGTAGGATCCATCTTCAGCACTGTAAGCACTCTAAAAACCTCTTAAATAAATTACTGAACAGGCTACATGTAGTACTTACCTAACACAAAAATGCAAAAGGTAACGAAACCTCGAAAATTGGAAGAGCCAGTGAAAAATTATGTGGGAAATTCGTGGAAAAATCTACGAAAAACCATATAAAAACACGAGCAAACCAAGCACCGAACGTTTTATTGTTCAAAACCGACCACCGATAAAACGATTATTTTGTAATTAAAACAAAACTAAATTAATAACAAACAATAAAATTTGCTGACTTGTTTTTTCGGAGTGAGGTTAGGTTGTCTGTGATGAATATGAAGTGAGGTGCCGTGGCTTGTGACGTGCGGCTTTTGTTCGACGTTGCCAGTTGTCACGTATATTATTTTTGTGTAACGAGTAAAATATCGCCAATATAAAAAAATATACAACCTATTAATTGTATTTTTATATACAAACATTACATATAAAATTCGAAAATTTATGAAACTACTAGGTATATTTCATCATATTTATATGGAATAAAATCATCCAAAGAAATCTGACAACGTCGAAAATGGGTATCGTCATAATCAACACTGCTGGTTGATAGACGAACTGACGAAGCGCAGTTGGGTCGTTGGTCTTGTTGGTCTGAATCTGGCAATGGGATTTTTTTAAAAGTTTTTTCTCTTTATATGCTGCTAAGCTGAGAATTATAAATAAGAAATCACAAAACAAAGAAACAGGAATATTTGAGGGATGTTCCTTGAATATTACATCTAAATATTCCAGTTATATTCTATCTGAAACATTCTGGGAATGTATTATCAAGGTACGGGACATTCATACTTTCATAGTACATTGGCAGGATATCCCAGGAAAATCCTGTGTTATCAGGGTTGTATCATGCTCGTCAGTTGGAACAGAGCCTTCTCAGCGGACCTGCCTGCTCTGTAGGCGTGCTGACTCCAAAGGTCACCTTTTTAAAGATCTGATATAGTTATCTATTGCCTTTTCCATCGTCTTTAGAAGGAACGATGTAAGGCCATTTGGTCTAAAGGATTTAGGGTCTGTCCCATCCTTCTTGCCTGCCTTTGAAATGAAAGTGACTCTTGCCCTTCTCCATATTTTACGTTTATATCCAACTATCCAAGTCAACATAGCCATACTGCTTCTGGTTATATCTACAAGGTGCGGCATGATCTCTGTTTGTAGGCGTGCTGGAGGGAGGTTCGAATGTATTTAATGTCCATTCAAGTCGCTTATTAGTGAGAACCGTTTTTGCTGTTTCCCAGTCCTCCCTAGTGGGCCGCTTGGAGTTCGCTTTTTCCTCACTTCTGTTTGTTGGCTTGCTATTTTGGAAGTGTTTGCTCAGGAGAAGGAGCGCATGTTCCTCTTCTCCTTCCGTGTAGGTACCATCTGGCTTTTTCAGGGCCATTGTCAACTTGTTTCCTCTTTGGCCATTGCCTTGTGCAGTCTAGCGGCGACTGGAATCGAGGTGATATTTTCACAGAAATACCTAGTTGTTTCTTTTTGCCTTGCTGATTTCTTTCTTATATTTTGTGAGAGCCAGTGTGTAACCCTGCCACTCTAAAAGGAACATACAAGATCGTCAAAAAGGTCAACGACTTGGTGTACGTACAGAATTCAACTTTGGCCGAACGCCAAGTCAAAAGTCATTCACGTAGAAAGGCTGGCTTCATACAGAGGTGAAACCAATCGAATATATCGTTTTGGATGCGACCAGGAGGAGTTCGGGACGAATAGCTTGAGTGGTTCGGGGCGAACAGCTCTAGTCAGGAGGTTTTTGGACAATTGGCTAAGGGTTTGAAACAGTCAAACAGAATATAAGCGCCAACAAACTGAGAGTAGAAAAGCGAACGGATCATGAACAAAAGAGATTTTGAATTGGACAGTAGTAAGGCGAACAGCTATAGTGATATAGGTATATAATGTTGTGATTTTTGTCTAATAACTATGTATAAACTGTATGAAGATGCCATCTGCTAAGCCGCTATTCTAATTGCTGATAATAACTATTTACTATTTCGTCAAAAAGCAATTAAACACCATTAATTTATGACAGGTATACCTTCTATTTTAAATGACTTTATTATATAGCCCATGTGCTTATTATTTATTTTGAAGTGTGTGAATTTAATTTTAAACTATTTAAGTTCTGATGTGAATGAATACCCATATAAGTGTCTTGCAATTTGCAAGTATGGTACACCAATACATGTTCCTAAAAATTTAAGAAAAGTTGATACTCTCTGGGCGCGGTCCAATATTTTGGGCGCACCTGTACAAAACAAACCCACGAACATATTTAAAAATCATAACATAAAATATAAACACAATTAGAATCACAATAATGAGGCATTCACCTATTAAACGACGGTAATTAGGCATGTAACAATAATTGAAATAATAAAATTAGATGCAGGAAATACAATAATATCTTATAACTATGTGTCCTTGTTACCAGACACTCCTACAAGCGGCCAAGAATATAAGATTGCTTTCTATTGTGAAAAAATATCGAGTTACTCTTATTTGACATTTTTTTGTGTTTTTTTTTATGTGCCTACATCACGATTCTCTTGTCGGAAATTGAATACCGAACGTATGTGAACAACAATAAAAATACCTGCCTTGAGTGTTTAGAATATAAGAACTATAACATAACAAGGGCGGAAAGTGACACTTTTCTAGTTAATTCGGTTTGTTCGGCTAAGCAAGCATTCAGGTGCGAAGAATATACTTTCTGCATGTTTTAGGAATAAAATAAAATCTTTCTTTTGTCCATAAATAAAGTAATTTACTTACATCCTACATATACAGATGCGGCCGCCAATAGTAGAAAGCACAGAAAAATGGCTATAATACAACATCCGCATCTCGTTTGTGATGTTAGCTTTCCTCTTGTAAATCTTATGTCCGAATCCGAAGATATAATGGAACTGGGTGATTTTCTATGTCGTCTGCTGTTGGTGCCGACAGTACTGATAGACATCTGAAAAGAAAAATATATTTCGTGAGATGTTTTTTAATTTTGAAAGAAGAAAAAACATATAAATGGTCAACTGAATCGAGCCGCCAGTTTGTTAAAAATAATTTTGAGAAGCTGAGGTCAAATGGCAAAAGGAACAATGATTTTTCTATGATTCATTATCATCTTTATTATTATCTCCTGATTATTAATCTTCAAGGAAATGCGTTGGTTTGTTTTCAGAAAGGAAGCTTATGTATGCAACATCCGAAGAATAATTTTTTTGTAATAAAGAAAAAATTGCAGATAGCATCAATAATTAGTTAGGTGTGTAGGTAACAGTGTAGCCGTTGCGTGTGGGCATAAGGATGAAAACGGGCCAACAATAAAAGGTCCATCGTGGTCTTTATTGGGTGCGAGGAAAGAATTTCATTGCGGGATAAATAATTAGTTACGACAAACGCCGTTCATAAATCGTTGATATTTTACAATCCAAGGTCTAATAAGAATGTAACGGTGGTATGTAGGTTGCATGGATTCTTTATTGATTTAAGCACCTGTTATTTAACTTCAAAGAGTGAAATGTCCGCGTGGATAATTATTGTAGTAGGTACCTATTTGGGCTCATTATGTTTATGGTATTTTCTGCAACTATGTAGTGATCTATTATATTTCATGGAATGTAGCTATAATTTACTCAGAGAGAAGAAAATGAAATAAAATTATTCTCCAATCCTTTTGTTATAAAGTCACACTTCAATGGATAAAGCACATCTTCGAATAGTCGGCATCAAACGCGCTTTCCGAAACTTTGATCCTCATTCATTCTTCATCACTGAATACAAAGTTTCCAGGTTTATGGTTTATACATTGACATTATTGACAATATTTTCTATTCTCGGGAACAAATTGTGAATCTATACGACAAATTTGCCATAGGATGCTCCGCTCTGAGGATCATATCTGGGGAGTTTAATTATTGTAGTCTAGTAAGAATGGCACAGGAAACCTCGTTTGATATCTGCTATTTATGCTGCAGAAGAAAGAACTTCGTTGTGTTGAACGAGCTGGTCTATCAACATCAATTCACATACTGGAGAAGACTTGCTTGAATATGATGGAAGTGGACAGACAGACTCTGAATATATCGCTCTTGTTCTTCAGCGCAAAAGTAGACGCTGTTGAAGGTTGGTGGCTCTCCAGTACCTTTTTGCTCATTTGAACTTTTCCAGGCATTTGAATTTGATCTAATTTATTTATATCGACTTCAACGATGGTTGCTATAACCATTTAAATCGTTTTTACAGACCTACCTATTCGGGAATCTATAACATTTGGAATGATTTATGCGATTTGATAAAATGACTTGAACAATTTTCAACCAATTTCCCAAAAATGTCATTATCTTTCAAAAGTTGAGGTCAAAAAAGAATGCACTTTAATAGATCCCATACAAAAGTCGTCTTAATTTGATCTTTGATGTTTGTTGCGGTAATCAAATATATACGTAATGTCTATTAGGTACTGCAGACTCATGTTGCAGCAAAATATTTGCCCAATAATTCTTCACCAGCTTTGAAATAACTTCTTGTGATGTAATGCCGAGAACATATAATTTTTTTCGTCTAGGCATTACCCACAACCCACAAATGATGTGTATAATTTGCATGAAAATTGCAACATATTTGAAAACAATTGGTTGCACATTATAATAAACAGAATAAATATTCGGTTAAAATCGAAATGACTCTTCCCGGCAAGCTATGATGCTATGATGCTATTGTGCGGTTGAGTAATTGTCGGATGCAATTGTGACGGTACTAGCTATTGCCCCTTTTTGGGCTTTAGTCAAACCGCACCAGGGATGCCAAAAGTTTTTACTTTGACTGACTGTAAAAATTAACCATTAGGTGTTGGATCATTTAAGCCTTGTATTGGGTTAGGGGTGCCTTGATTCTCATTTATACAAATAAAACGTTGAAATAGAATAGTTATTAATTTAATCAAATGAAAGTAATTCGGTATAGTCAGCAATCAAATCCTATCTAAAAATTCCTAATTGGACGTCCAGTCGAACTACAAATTTTATACTAATCTAAAGTAAATGAGTATCTTGATATCATTTATGGTTAAATGTTAAGTGAACGAAAACACAAATTAACTAATTAAATGCACAAGAGCACAACATAAATAATTCTTCAACTTCAATCAGTTCACTGTAATCACAAAATGTTTATTGATCCTTGAAATTTCTTTTATTTATTGAGAGTTAACAATTTGAGCACATTTCTGCGGAAGTCTGTAAACAATATGTGCAAGAAAAGTCTAAATATATGCTCAGTTTCTATATACAAATGCGCAAATGTTAATTTCACGAGTGTGAAAACCAAATTTCTGCATTAAACGTTAGAAAGCACTTCAATTTATAGTGCATTTCAAGCGAATCACTAATCAGTATTTATTGTTCGACTGTCAGAGAAATTGTAACGGTCTTGCTTGCTTAATCCGGTTCATGCAGATAAATCCACAAGGCAATTATTTTTCCATTTATCACCACTATTCACACTGGCAGCTAGGGAATTTTCCACTGAGATGAAAAGAAAACACAACGATATACAGGTGCGTTGAAGCCCGGCGAGAGTGAGAGAGATAGAGCCAAAAACAAGCGTAGGAGAGAATTTTGCTCGTCCGAGGTGACTTGCAACAATTAAGGGTTAATTACATGAATTGTAATCAATAATATAGATCATGTTAGGCCTTGAGACACAAAGAGTAGTATTTAACTATAAATCGCGCGTACTAACGGGAGTTTTTGAGAGTTTTTCCTCTGGAGAGCATTCAGAGGGCGCGAGGTTGCGAATTCTTCGCTTATTCTAATAGTACTGAAGAATGTGCGTTCACTAGACTCTGCCAGGGGAGCAGGTCACAAAAATCTAGAAAACAATGTGGCGGCTGACCAATCACAGCAGCGAGACAGGTCCACTGCCTTATAAGGTAATGAAGAAACCTGTAATTTTATTGGTTGGCTGTTGCCGGTTTAACAGGATAAATAGTCCAGCAATAGCATTTATTTTTAGAATATTTTTATGGTAAATAATAGAGATCGAGATATATTAAATTAGAAATAATAAAATTTAAACTTGTTGTGGGTTATTTCCGCGACAGCAATAATAAACCTGAAATTACAATAAAGGGCGTCTCATCAAGAACTTGAATTTTAAATCGCGTGGCATTTCTGTCTGTCTATCGTCAAGTCGGCGATATCTGCGAATTGTCACTGTAAAATTTCCTCCAATTCTGTAATGAGTTTTCATAATAAATAAACGTTCCTCGATTGTAACGCGGTATTTTAGTAAATGTCAATGTTTTCACTGAACACATGCCCAATATGGCCGACTTGACGCTTGACAGACAAAAATGGCGCGCGATTCAAGTTCTTGTTGAGACACCCTTTATATCTAAGCTTCAAATTACTCAGTAAATTGAAATTACTCAAAGATATTTCGTTGTGTGATGGTGCCTAACAAGTATGAATACAAAATATCAAAATCAAAACCAATCTTGATCAACCAAGATTATAAGACTCGGAGCGAAGAATACTATGATAACGCCACTGACAAACAAGGTTACAAACACAAACTAAGAGAAGACTGCTTGCCTTTATACTTCAGAATATTTCTAAAATGGATTTGCTGGACATAATTTCTCACTCAGCATGTATCCAGGAATCAATGAAAATTGAAAGCTTATCCAAAAATATTGTAAGTCCCTTGGAACTGATGAAGTGCCTAGCCTTTTCATTTTTCCACGTACCTATATGTTTTAGTTAAATCGCTCTTAATTTCGTTGATGTAAGTAGATTTTATTCCTTTTTCTATGATCCGTATTTCACTTATGTGGCCATATTTATAGGAATTATAGCAAATCCGCGTTTTTTACTTTCTAATACCGCAGGTCAATTTATTCACACGTTTGTTTTGTAAATATTAGAGGAGTAATCTGAGTTATGCTAATAATATGACGGAATATTAATCCTAACGGTAGTAGCGTTTATAGTTACCTATGGCCTACAGTTTTAGCAATGTAGAACGACAAAAATATTTTCACCCGAAAATCCTTTGGAATAAACAAGAAAATAATGGAAGAATAATATTTAAAAAAGTGGTAGGGGTGTCACATCAATTTAAAGGGCAATTCGCATTTTACATGGAAAAATGAAGGTTTAAAAAATTGACTTCAGTAAACGTTATTATAGGTATGTCTGAATCGCCCTCTATTCTATATATAGCTGTAGAAACATAGTTCAAAGAACTCTCTAAGATTATTGAGGATTTTTGCAGTCATAAAATTACACTGGTGTATATAAATAGGTATGATACTTTGCCACAAATCTTCTAGTAATTCAGGTCAGTCACCGTGTATAATTGTTTTCCTATCACCATAAATTGCGAAACTTGTACTGGGATTGTGTTTATTAGTATATAACATACCTCATGTTAAGCCTTTTAGTTAGCTTTAATCTGCAAAGAATCTAGTCTTTCATCCCTGAATTTTAATAATTAATATTGTCGCGGATTCCGCAGGTCCACTGAAAATTTCTAACAAACAACAACTTTTAGAGAACTAATGGGTTTGTCAAGATTCACCAATCACTTATCGTTTTTATTCAACTTCATACAACAATTCTCTTATTCAAAACTGACTGATTGACTTACAAACTACGCCATTTGATCGAGAAATCTTTAGTATCACGTAATTTTTTTTAAATCGCACAACGTGATGAATTTCTGAATAATGGCGCCTGATTGCTAACAATGGCGTTGGCATTTTCGCAGCAATATAATTTCATTCATAGGTGGCTTGTTGATTTCCGTTGCAGGGAAGTTGAGACATTTCCCTATCTCGAGTCACATTCCAACTCTTAAATTTTCTTCTGAACACTTTCCATTTTATGGCGAAAGGTTCCGACTTTCTGACGAATAGTTCAAACTGCCACTTCTTCACGTATACTTCTTCCGTTCTTG